GGATAGAACAAGTGTAACTCAGGTGAGTGTGACGATTACTGTAAAAAGCTGGTGAGACTTAAGCTTCCCAGGTCCTTCCCCCAGGCACCACGTTCGGCAGAGAGAAAATGCTAGACTCCCTTCTTAAGGCTGCACCTCTCCTCTCCTCACTTCACATAAGTCACTTTCAGCATAACCAAGTTTGACCCTTTTCTAAGCCTTCTTGAAGTGTTTCCTCTTTCCACTGAGCCTCCCTTAGACTCCTTTTGATGTTCATTATTCATTAATTCTGACACAAAAGTTCATTGATGCCTAGTGTGCAGCAAACTTGGGATATATCAGCGAACTAAACAGTCAAGATGTTTCCCTGCCCTCATAGAGCTTACATTCTACTGGGGAGCAACCATATCTGAACAGCACAAGAGATAAAGATATCAATTATATATTACTTTAGAAGGGGATAAAGAGAATGTAATGCATGGCAGGAAGGAAGACAGAGCAGGATTAGGTTGATCAAAATACAGGAGGCGAGGCAGGCAATACAATGCAATAAAGTTGGTAGGCTTCAGCGGCGAAAAGTTGGCACATGGTCAAAAAATTGTTTATGTGCCTTCTTCCTGCCCAATCAAAGGACAGGGCCTGGGCATTTTCATGGATGCTAGTCTATGCTAGTATAGCACCAGTATAGCACTTTCACAGAATGCCTTGTATGTGGTTGAAGCTCTACAGAGAACTAGAGAAAGGGAAAATGAATGTGGAAAAATGAATTTAAAGACCAGTAAGTAAATCCACTTCTTGTTTTTATATTTTTCTTGATGTTTTCTTTCTTTTTGTCTTTTTTGCTTCTGGGGTCACACCCAGCAGTTCTCAGAACTTACTCCTGGCTTTGCACTCAGGGATCACTCCTAGTAGGCTCAGGGGATCATATGGGAACCTGGGGATTGAACCTGGGTCAGCTACGTGCATGGCAAACACCAACTCATTGTACTCTCTGCCCCCACTGCTGTTTTCTTTCTAGACTGTCTAATAAACCTATGCTTAAGAACTTAAAATTCTGTCTTTATGCCAATTCTTTCTCAAGATGGAACTATCACTGGATCTCAGTGGGCACAAGGAATTTGGAAGGACTTTTCTCAAGAAATTCTACAGCTCAGAAATAACTAAACATAATACAGGGAATTGGATTAAAATTCTCACACCAAAGACCTTGTGTGTTTTTATTTTAGGCAAATAATTTTAGGCCACTTTTTACCTGAAAAAGCAATTGCAAAATATAAAACTCAGTTCACTGTAGAGCATTATGGCCATAATTTGTTTAAAAGAGCCATTTTTTAAAAAAGTAAATAACTTTGGGGAATTGAATAGAAGAAATATTCCAAAAGCCCATTGCAACATGAGTTTGCTATCAAAAACCTCATAGGTCTCCTGACAACCTCTGGCTTTAAGTAGCTTACAAATATTTATGAGGTAGATACATTAATCCAGGACAAGCAGTCCCTAGCAGGAACCATGGCCATACAGTGTCACCTGACCAGTGAGAGTGTGCGCAGCCTGCCTTTCAGCTCCTACCATCATTTATGGAAAATCAATGCAGAATAACTTTGTGGGCTCTATTCAGTCATTGTTAGTGGTCTTGAATCCAAAAAAGACCTAAGCCTGTGGGTGATGTAATGCTTTCAGCTGCCGGATTTAAAATGTAAATGGCTCTTGCTGCTGATAAAGTTCTCCCTTGAGAGCTAAAGAGCCTTGTGTAATCCAGAGGCCTGAATTCCAGACATGCACCATATGACACGTGTGTTGTAGACGCGTAGAATGTTGATGTCAGAGGTCCTGCACAGAGAACCGAGGTTAGTGGCTTTTCAGCTGCTCCAGCTGAGTCCTCCCAGGGAACCAGAGCTGGCACAAAGGAGCTTCTGAGTTACTGAATCATAGTCCCCTCTGTGTCCTTTCATTTGCCTCAACACACCTTGACCAGTTTTATTGTCTTCATGCTTTTTTGGTGAGAGTTGGTATGGATTCTGAGAGCAAAGTTAGCAATAGTTCGGTGTCTTGCACTAAAGCAGTGGTCCAGACAGGACCAATAGAAAGAAGATGAACTCACTCTTTTTCCAGGCACAGCAGCCTGCAGTGATGACTCCTCAGACTTACGCCTTCAGTCTCCCAGCCATTAGAAACATACCCTCAGCAATGATTGTCCTCATGCGTCCAGCTTCCTGGCTCCTGAGAAAATCTGATTGGATGTACAGGGGCAGCACAGTAGCTAAGAAGAGGAAGCATTCAGTACCTTTTGTTCTATTATTGCCATTTCCCCCGTTTTCCCCCAGGAAGAGTCACATAGGCTGTCACATTGTGTTCAGGAAGCCTGATGAATAATTGCAAGGGGCTCAGGGACCTCCTTCTTTGAACAAAGCAGCTACCCTTCTACCTGCTTTTAGGTAGAGTTTCTTTTTTTTTCCTTTTTTTTATTAGTGAAACACCATGAGGTACAGTTGTAGATTTAGAAATTTTTGTGCTTGGGTTTCGGTTATACAATGCTCAAATACCCATCCCTCCACTAGTGCCCATTTTCCACCACCACGGGTCCCAGTATCCCTCCCACCCCCCATCCCCCCCATCCCACCCTGCCTCTGTGGCAGGGCATTCCATTTTGTTCTCTCTCTCCTTTTGGGTGTTGTGGTCTGCAAAAGAGGCATTGAGTGGCAAACATGTTCAGTCCATAGTCTACTTTCAACATGCATCTCCCCTCCTGAGAGGATCCTCCAAACACCCTTTATTTGGTGCTCCCTTCTCTATCTGAACTGCCCGTTCCCCTAGAATACCCGGCTGGCCTCTAAGCTATGGAGTAATCCTCCTGGTGTTGATCTCAGCTATTGTTGGGTATTAATCTCATATTTTGTTACTTTATATCCCCCAGATGAATGCAATCTTTCTATGTCTATCCCTCTCTTTCTGACTCATTTCGCTTAGCATGATACTTTCCATATTGTACCACTTGTATGTAAATTTCATGACTTCATCTTTAGGTAGAGTTTCTTTTACAAAGGGGCTCTCTAACTTTAAATAATGAAGGTTCGATTACTGCTGTCTAGAAGGGCTTTTGCTCATGAGAATATGTAGTGATGTTTGAGATGTCACTCACCTCTGTGCCTATTGATCAGACCCAGAAGAGTCATGGCAGAGGCTGACTGAATGCTTGCTTCAGGATGATGATGTAGCACTATGGACAGAAAGGCTTGAATTAAAGAGACTGAAAATGAAGTGAGTGATAAGATAGAACATTCACTGTGTCTTTGTTTTTTGGGCCATACTTGGTGACGCTCAGGGGTTACTCCTGGTTCTGCACTCAGGAATCACTCGTGGTGGTGCTCAGGGGCCCATATGGTATGCCAGGGATCAGATGCACGTTGGCCTGTGCAAAGCAATTGCCCTACCATTGTGTAGGATAATATTGGCTTGTCCTTTCTCCCTTGCCGCAGGGAGCTTAGGTTTATTGGGTCACACCCATTACAGTGCTCTCGAGGCACTCCCATTCCTCTGTGTTTATCTTTAACCTCTTCTCTGTGCTCTGCTTCCCCTATCTGTTAATCTCCTATATCCCAAAATCAGACCCTATGACTTGTAAGGTCAGTTCCTTCTAAGGACTCTGGATTTTGTATTTGTAAGTGAAATACTCCTCTTGGAGAGCCCGGCAAACTACCGAGAGTATCTCGCCCACATGGCAAAGCCTGGCAAGCTCCCTGTGACGTATTCGATATGCCAAACACAGTAACAACTCTCACAATGTTACTGGGCCCACTCAAGCAAATCGATGAACAACGGGAGGACAATGATACAGTGAAGTGAAATACCACATTTCTCTTTCCTGTATGTCCTTTGTGTAGTTTACTTAAGAGCAATGTCCATTACATATAGACGCAGGAAGACAGTTAGTGCTATGCTTTTGTAACTTGGGAGTTAATTGACTCCAGATAATATTTACTCCTGAGCATTGATCATATTTACTCAAGTTAAGCCTCATTTGCCTTTAGTTCCTAGCACCCCAAAACAGGGTACTGATGAAGGAACTAGATGGAACCGGGGCAAGCTGTGAACTACCCTGGCATCCAAAGGGGACAGGTCAAGTGCCATAAAGCTTATAATTAAGATTATAGTTGTGGAAAAACTCTGTTATGACCCAAAAAGAAGCAACTGGACAAGGACCCTGCTGGGGTTAGGAAGGACTAATCTGGCCTGAGGACTGTAGTCTGGGATCTATAGTGAGATGTCCTCAGGAGAGCCACCCTATAAGCTTAATATATCTCTTACTGTGTCCATACAAATCAACCAATATTATTAAGAAGTAGAGTTACAATGATTGTTTAAATGGTTATGGACTAAGAAAAGGAGAAATATGCCCTTAAGTGAAATCCCACCCTTGAGTGGATCTCTAGCAGGATGAGATCTTTGTCTAGAAGAGCTTCCCTGGAAGGAAGGGAAGGGCTTTTATATGTTGACTGTGCTATCTGACATATGTGTAGTTGCTACTTCCAGTGCTTGTGGTTGGGCTCTTGACTAAAGCTGCAAGACTGGGCATGGGCAGACTAGCTTGAGGGACAGGAGGAGATGGGAATGGGGGGGCACTGTGAGGCTGGAATGGGGCACTCATTGAGATTGGAATGGGCGTATAGGGAGAATGGAATGAATGGCAGGACAAAAATTGGAATAAACAGCAACTGATCACCAACCAGCTTGGCAGCCCTGTTCTCTCCTTCATGCGTCTGTTGGCAGCGGCTGCAGGCCGGAGTGGGGAAGCAGCTCACCGCCACCGAACACACATGACAAGAGCCCAAACACATGTTTTGTGAACACACACCATTGCACTAGTGTTCTGGTCCAAAGTATCTTTGAAGTCTGTGTTTTCCCATGTCTTTCTGTTTTTGACTGTGAACATACATAGCGGACGTGATTCTCTGAAATGCTAAGAGCAATCCCGAGTGGCACCTGACTGTGATGACCCTTTCTTTTCCCTTTTCACATTGTAGTGCACTTACATTTCAATTGACCAAGTTCCCAGGACGCATGCCATTGTGATCAGCAGACCTGCCTGGCTTTGGGGAGCAGAAATGGGCGCCAACGAACACGGAGTGTGCATCGCCAATGGGGCTATCTGCACCAAGGAGCCAGCAGCGGAGACAGAAGCCTTGTTGGGGATGGATCTGGTCAGGTACTGTGCAGTGGGTCTTGTAAATGACTGCTCGAAGCAGGGGGAAATTATGTGTGTCGGGGGGCTAAGATGTATGTGTGGGGGGGAGGATCCCTTCCTGACCCCCACCGCATCTTTGGTCCTAGAATTCTCCCTAAGATGATGTGCGTGTTTTGATGTAAACTTAGAAGTGATAGAAAAAATAGATTACAACTGAGTATTTTGCAATAATAAGATAAAAAGTGGGTCATGAATATAGCTCAAAATGTAGAGATGAACCAATATACATTGAGTTTATGTTTTGACAACTGCCCTAGTATTTTTGCATTGTACTCAGTTCAAAGCCTGAAAATGAAGAATTTATAATAAATGTGCTTCTTTTAAACCTTATTTATAACACTGCATTTTGGATTATATTGGTGCATTGGGGTTTATAGAATTTATTGGCAATGGCACCCTTTCAACAGCTAATCTCTTTTATTTTTTTTTTCTTTCTCTTTTTAACTTTTTTTTTTTGGGGGGGGGCGTTGTTTGGCTTTGACTAAACCCAGTTGGTGCTCAGGGATTACTCCTGGCTTTTCACTCAGGGATTATTCCTGGCAGGGCCTGGGGGATCATATGGAGTGTTGGAGATTGAACCCTGGTCAGCCACATGCAAGGCAAGTGCCCTGACTGCTGAACTCTCTTTTCAGCCCTTCAACAGCTAATTTCTAAGAGACCACAGAAAAAAATGTTGTGTGTTTGTTTCAAAGCCTCTGTTATATCATTTCAAGCTTATCAACCAATAAAGCAACAGGGGTTAACTAAATATCTGCTTTGTATCAATCAGACTCTGTGGGAACATGAAGTTCAAAGCAATTTTAGTTTGGTTGTAGGGCTGGAGCAATAGCACAGCGGGTAGGGCGTTTGCCTTGCACATGGCCAACCCAGGTTCCATTCCTCTGCCCCTCTCAGAGAGCCCAGCAAGCTATTGAGAGTATCTCACCTGGCAAAGCCTGGCAAGCTACCCATAATGTATTCAATATGCCAAACACAGTAACAATGTTACTGGGCCCGCTGGAGCAAATCGATGAACAATGGGAGGACAGTGACAGTGACAGTGTAGGGAGAAGACAAAAAAAATCAGAGCAATGCAAGATTTTAAGACCAATTCAAGATGACAGTAGAAGAAATGTGTCTAAAGGCAATCTGAGATCTATAGTTGCACAAATAACTCATGATCCCAGGGGCTCAGCAAACACTGCTCGGTGCTCCAAGCTGTGCATGGATAGTTGCATGCTCTGGGGCATGTTTTGAGAAGGAGTTGCATTTCATCTGGCTCTACAGGTTGAGGGGTATAGATAGGGAAGATTGGTGTGCGTAGGTGCAATTGTATTAGTTACCAAGGGCTGAAGCAGTGAACACAATGAATGGATAATAGTTGAACCTTAGCCACTATTTTAACTCCTTCACTGGTTAGCCATGTGTAATTGTTGCGATTATTTTAATTCTATTAATCACTTAATCACTTAATCACTTAACTTCCCATTAGTTGTCGATTTGCTCGAGTGGGCGCCAGTAACGTCTCCATTTGTCCCTGTCGCGTGCTAGTGTAGCCCAATGGCATCTGTTCGCTCTGGGAACATGATATTAATGTAATTTGATAATGTTGGTGATAAAAGGTGTGGTGAGCACCTGCTACAGATGTCTGCACCTTGAATGGCCCCTTATGAACTCAGGACTCAGCAGGGAACACAATATAATCTTCAGCCAAGCCCATGTGATCAGATACCAAGGGCATCTTTCATGCTGGCCCCAGGAGGCAGACGTCAGTGTCTAAGATCTGCTATGAGTTCCTGAAATGCACAAAGGGAGAGACCGACACACACAAGAAAAAGTCACGGGGACCACAGGAGGCCTTTTCTCCAGAACTGCCCATAAGACAGAGCTTTGGGTGAGGGAGTATCAGAGAAACCAGGCTTCAGCGCAGGAAGGATTGGAACTGTGCTGAAGGCTTCAAAGCCAGACTTCAACCTTGGCCCAGTTAATTCCATCCCTTTTCCTGTCTCAGTCATGCCCATCCTGAGGCAGAGCAGCCAAGGAGAAATTAGGTCCTGGGGCCAGAAAGGTGCAAAATCATTTGGAGTCACATGGAGCTTTCTGCCTAAGGGTGAGGAACCCTTGAGAAAGGCTTCACTGTGGGGAATAGCCTGGAGTGACCTGTGGCTTCTCGATCTCAGGAACAGAGTGTGGAACACACTGTCATTCAGGGCCGTGGTTCCGTCCTTGCCCCCCTGCAGGAAGGTGGCGGTCAAGTGGAGGAGGGAGGCTCTCTCCCACAATCTGGACACGGAGCATAGGCAAATGACATCAAATTGCCTGTGTGGGTCCTGTCGTCTGTGTGGGAGAGAAGGTGCGAGTTCTCAGCCCTCAGTGTGACTGCACCAGGGCAAGAGCTGGGAGAGCGAGCTTGAATCTGTCCAGTAGAAACCACACTGCCATAGATGGGGAATATGTGTAAAGGAAAGAGGTGCTCCTGGGTGCCCAGTTTCTGAGTATGAGAGCTGCCCGGAGTAGCTTAGTTTCTCTGGATGCTTCAGATAATAGGAGCTATTCCTTTTGCTATTTCTTTTGAGAGAAGATGGCATCAGAAAAAAAAGCCCATTGCCCCATTATGAAACTCTCCTATGACCAATATTGTAAATCACAGAGCCCAAAATAAAATTTTTAAAAAGTACAAGCACAGCGGGTAGGGCATTTGCCTTGCGCGGCCAACCTGGGTTCGATTCCCAGCATCCCATATGGTCCCTGGAGCACCACCAGGAATAATTCCTGAGTGCATGAGCCAGGAATAACCCCTGAGCATCGCTGGATGTGACCCAAAAAGAGAAAAAAATGTACAAGCCCGTTATCTACAGATTTATACTGTCACAGTCTCCTTTCAGCTTTGCATATAGGTGCCTTGTCACCGTATCTTCTGAAAGAAGCTTCAGTGGGGCAAGGCCGGCTGAATGGGTGTATAGTGGCCTGTCTTGGACATTAAACCCGTCAGAGAATGAAGCTGGGCTTATGGCTGCAATACCTTGTCTTCTTTTTGGCAGCACAGTTGAAACGTCTCCTTCAGAAGCTAGGTAAATTTCTATAAGAACTGCTTCCCAGGTGAAAAATTCACCAAGAACTAGCTTCTGCAACCATCCTGGTGGATTCCATGGCCTCTGTCCTAAGACTTGTCTTCTGTCATCAGAACTATAATTTGAATCAACAGAGAAATAGATGGACATTTCCTGTGTACAAACTGTTTACTTTCACATCAGCCTGAGATGGGAGTTCAGGCAATTTTGGTTCACAGAGCAGCGATTAGGCTGCTGAAGATCATACTGTGGGGAGCAGATCCAGATCTGACAGTATCCCCAGCCAACGTCAACAATATCCCCTGCCATATTGTACTGCCTCTGACAACCTCCAAATGATATTTGTGGTCCCAGGCATTGAGCGCTACGTGTTTACTTAACAAAATTATTTATTTTTATGTTTGAATTTTAAATTATTGATCGCTGCACTATGATTTACAGTATTTTTGATGGTGGTTTCCCATGTAACTCCAACACCAGCCCATCACCATTGTATGCACCTCCCTCCCCTAAGGCTCCCAGTGTCTTTTCCTTTCAGCCTCCTTTCCACAAACTCAGTTGTGTGGATCAATTCTCTCATTGTGTTGCCTTTGGCCCTTTGTTATTACTTTGCTGTATGTCTTTAAATTCCAAGTGAGAAAGAAAAGGTGGTGTAGAGATCTTTCTGGGGGGAAGAGTGATAATAGGGCACTCGCCTTGCACATGGCCAACCTGGGGTTGATCCCCCAGTATCCCATATGGTCTCCTAAGAACCACTAGGAACGGTTCCTGAGTGCAGAGCCAGGAATAACCCTTGAGAATTGCTGGGTGTGCCCCCCCTCCAAAAAAGGAGAGAGACCATTCTATATCTATTCATTTCCTTCTGACTTCACTCAGCATTATTTCCTCAGGTTCCGTTCATGTCATACAAATTGCATGATTTTGTTCTTTCTTAGAGCCTCACAGTATTCCATTGTGTCTAGAAAGCATAACTTCTTGTTCCATTTATCCATAGTTGGGCATTTGGGTCATTTCCATATTTTGGCTATTGTACTAAGTGCAGTGATGAACATAGGTGTGCATGTCTCATTTTGGAATTAAAGCCTGGCAAGCTACTCGTGATGTATTCGATATGCCAAACACAGTGACAACAAGTCTCACGATGGAGACGTTACTGGGCCCACTTGAACAAATCAATGAACAACGGGAGGACAGTGCTATAGTGCTATTTTTGTGTTTGAGTGGGGAGAGGGGAGAGGTCAAGCAGTACTGCTGGGTCATATGGGAATTCTATTTGTATTTTTTGGAGACATCTCCATATTGCTTTCCATTGAGGCTGAACAAGATGACATGCCCACCAACAGTGGACGAGGTCCCTTCCTTACCACAACCCCGCCGACACTGACTTTGTGATATGGAGCATTGCACATTTTCATGGTCATGATCTCAGAATGATCAGTCTCAACATGGTCTGATGATGACAGGACTTACAGGTGGCATAAAATGCAAGATCAAATATATTGTGTCAGGCACCCAAGATCCCACAGGTACCCACGCCTGTGCTCTCTCTCTCTCTCTCTCTCTCTCTCTCTCTCTCACTCTCGCTCTCGCTCTCGCTCTCTCTCGCTTTTTGGGTCACACCTGGCAATGCTCAGGGGTTACTCCTGGCTCTGCACTCAGGAATCACTCCTGGCAATGCTCAAGGTACCGTATGGGATTCCAGGGATTGAACCCGGGTCGTTTGTGTGCAAGGCAAATGCCCTACCCACTGTGCTATCTCTCTGACCCCTTGCCTGTGCTCTCTTAAGAGCTCTGTGCATTGAAAGGGCCAGAAGAACGTGACTTCCCAGCTCACATCAGAAGCATTTGCTAATTGATCCTATAAGCCACATGCACAGAGGCAGATTAACAGGTGGTTGGAAAAACAGAGCCAAAAATATGGCTGTTGTTTGCTATGAGGACTCTGAGCAACGGCATACCCCAGGATGATGCTGATTCTGGGCTCTTTTTTTTTCACAAACCAAACTAAATGGTGTAGAATGATGGGGGTCACATGTGGCAGGACAGAGACTTTCTTGTGCTTAAGGAAGGAGGGACAACATGCTCAAGTGAGGGGGCCCTTCCTGAGAGCTGGTCAACTCCACGGGCAACCAATGGGGCAGAGGCAGAGGGGCGGAGCTTCCCCTCATGAGAGAAGTCTCTGGGTTTCCACCTGTTTGGAAGCAGATGCCCCAAGACAGACAACACCCTGTACTGTTGACAAGAGATTAGCTCCAGCTGTCTGTTTGTAGTGCGTACCTCTGACGGAGACAATCACTCAGTTGGCTTCTCTATCACTCCACCTCTTCCCCATGATGGATAACGTGGCGGTGGGGGGTGGTACTCACATGAAATGACAGAGCATTCTGGTTCTCACTGCAGGCTTGGTTTGGAGAGAGGGACGACGGCTAAGGAAGCCTTAGATGTCATCGTTGGCCTGTTGGAAGATCACGGACAAGGTGGGAGTTACTATGAAGATGCCAGCGGCGGCTGTGGTTTCCAGAGCTCATACCTGATCGTGGATCGTGAGGAAGCCTGGGTGCTCGAGACCCTGGGGAAGTACTGGGCAGCCGAGAAAATCACAGGTGAGGAGCAGGGGCAGCCCAGGCATGCCCACACAGGAGAGGCTGAGATAGACGTGGCCCTCGAGAAGCTACTGCTCTCTGTCGCTGTTCCTGGGTGTCACCACCCCACCCATGGTGACCCAAGGGTTCCCTTGGTGTGTTTGGGACCGAGTCACTACCGAGTCACCCCCACCCAGTTTCTAATGGTGATGGATGAACAAAGGAATGGGGGCTACCAGGCTGGTTGGTAATCAGTGGCCCTTTATTCCAGTCTCACAGCATTAGTTATTGAGAAATCACGAAGGACTGGGGGTAGCAGCTGCAAATAGGTGTGGTTGAACATTATCATCAGCAATAAACAGATGTAAAGCCCTTCCTTCAGAGGAAGTTCTTCTAGGATATTAACTCAAGGATGAAATCTCATCTCAGTGCTCAGCACTCTAGATTCTGGCTAGGAGATCCGCCCAAGAGTGGAATTCCATCTAAGGGCATAATTGCTTTCTCCTTTTTTTTTTCAGCTAAAATTTATTTAAATAGTCACCTTAAATTTACTTCTTAATAATATTTCTAGTCATTTTGTATGGACACAGTAAGAGGTATGTGGTAAGAAGATGGACACAGCAAGAGATAATCTTAAAATATGACTCTTCCTGGGGACATCTCTCTATATATCCCAGACCACAGTCCTCAGGCCAAGTTAGTCTTTCCTAACCCCAGCAGGCTCCTTATTCAGTTACTTCTCTTTGGGTCATGACAGAGTTTGTTCCATGACCATGCTCTTAACTTATTATACTTCTTATGGCACTTAGCTTGTCCTTTTTGAATCCATGGTAGCTTACGGCTTGCCCTGGGTCCGTTCTTGTCCCTCTCCAGAACCTCACTAACACGCAAGAACCCCCCTCCCCTTTTGAGGTGTTAGGAACCAAGGACAATTGAGGTAAAAGTCAAGTACATGTGAAGGATGCCCAGAGTAAATATTATTTGAAGTCAGTTAACTCCCAAGTTGCAAAAACAGCATCAACTGTCTTCCTGTGTCTAAACAAAAAGGATATTAATCTAAAGTAAACTATGCAAAGGACCTAAAGGAAAGAGAAAAGCAATATTTCATTTACATATACAAAATTCATATGCAAAATTGCTGGAGCGATAGCACAGCAGTAGGGCATTTGCCTTGCACGCAGCCGGCCCGGATGAGACGGGTTTGATTCCTCCGCCCCTCTCGGAGAGCCCGGCAAGCTACCGAGAGTATCTCACCTGCCTGGGAAGCTACCCGTGACGTATTCAATATGCCAAACACAGTAACAACAAGTCTCACAATGGAGACGTTACTGGGCCCGCTCAAACAAATTGATGAACAACGGGAGGACCATGACCGTGACCGTGATACAAAATTCAGAGCTTTGAGAAGAATTTGACTTTGCAAGTTACAGATTCTGGTTTGGAGAGATAAGTGATTAACAGGGGAAGAAGAGCAAAATGGAGAAGTTAAAGATAAACAGAAGATTGGGAGTGCCAAATGGAATTGGGTGTGTGCCTCAGGAGCACTGTGGTGGTGGGAGTGACTCAATAAACGTAATTAGCTCCCTGTGTGTGTGGGGGGGGGGCAGGGGGAGAAAGAACAACTCAATGTAACCAAACACTCTCTCCCACCTTCTAGGACTAGAAGGTTCATTTAAGGCCTGGCTTATTCCTGGGCTTCTGCTTCTTGAGAGGAACCTGGACTTTCCTGAACCTGCCATGTGGGGCTCTCAATACTTGGAGACCAATGCTTTATTTCTTGGTTTATCTTTCTTTCTGGGTAGGACCTGGTTCTGTCAGCCAGCTCCCCAAAGCCGAGGGGTCACCCTTTACATGGGGCTGAGGATCCTGTCCTTCCTTTCATCCTAGGCCCTGCCCTTGTTACCTCATGACTCGTGGTTGGAATCTTGCTCTAGAAGATGAATTTGTTTCTGGTTGAGGCCAAGGAGTCCTCATCTCTGTGAGACGATGTTCTGGGAAGAGCAGTGGGTGCTGGTGGGTTTGGGACTCGGAGAACTGCTGCTTTGCCCTCCCATTCCAGACAGTTCTGGGGGAGAAGATGTAAAGGTTAGAGTGGCTGACTCAAATCAACTCCCAGAACTCTAAGACCTCACAGGATTCCCAGATGGTTTAATGTTGTAAGAGAGAAGTGAATGAAGCCCCTCGGAGACCCTCAGGACTGGGGACTCACTCATGACGGGGTACTGCCATCCGTCCTGAGTTCTGGCAGGCACAGTACATGGCACCACTCTTCAATTCTTTTTTTTTTTTCTTTTTGGGTCACACCTGACGATGCACAGGGGTTACTCCTGGCTCTGTACTCAGGAATTGCCCCTGGTGGTGCTCAGGGGATTATATGAGATGCTAGAAATCAAACCTGGGTTGGCCGCGTGCAAGGCAAATGCCCTACCTGCTGTGCAAGGCAAATGCTCTACCCTCTGTGCTATCACTCCAACCCCACCACTCTTGAATTCTTGAGTCCACCCAGGGCGTATGCATCTTCTTCCTTTCTTTCCTTTTAACAAGGTCTTTCCCCTTCCTTCCCTTTCCTTTGTTGCTATTGTTGCAATGAAGTTGGGGCAGGGAATGTGTCACACCTTATTGCTTGTGGTACTTGATGGGATTGGACTCATTGAGTGATGAGGCTCCCACATATTCTGGTAGTGGTACTTGTCCAGGTGGCTGCTGGGAACTTGCACACATACTTGCCAGGGATTGGGCTTTGGTCATGGTGCTCATGACTCTTTTAGATGGAAGTAGCTCGAGATTTTCCTGGCCATAACTCTCCTTTGGGCACGGCAAGCTGGCGTGTCTGTTTGTCAGCATTAGAAGAGGGCCGTCTCTACCTTCTGCATTCAGCACACACCCTCTATGCCCACTTGCTTGGTGCCTAACAGGGTTCCAGGACCAAAGCTGACCCCTTCGTTCCCAGCTGCCTACAGTACAGGAATTTCATAGAACTTCCTTCCCAAGATAAAGTCAGGAGGGATGGTGCAGAACTTTCGCTGGTCCTGTGCTGGAACGCAGCTCTGATGCTTGGAAGCAGAACTGAAGGCTTTCTCATCTCTGATTGAGAGCCAGTGCTCAGCTTCCCTGCAAGACAGCCGGAGTAACCCAGTTCCTCAATGGGTCAGTTCATACTGACATGTATCCCACTTACACCTACAGATGCAGAAATGAGACCGGTGAGAACCAAGCATTGGCGTTCCCTCTAGCCCCTGCAGAGAGATGCTAAACAGTGAAATCTTGGCCCTGTGTTGTGCAGAAATGGAGAAGAGCATTAATATCATTTTTGAGAACTAAAGGGGAAAAAGCCACACCCAGCAATTGGATTGTTGTTGTTTTGTTTGTTTGTTTTTTGGGGGGTACATACAGCGATGCACAGGGGTTACTCCTAGGTCTGCACTCAGAAATTACTCCTGACAGTGCTTGGGGGGACCATATGGGATGCTGGGAATCGAACCCGGGTATCAGCCATGTGCAAAGCAAATGCCCTACCTGCTGTGCTATCGCTCCAGCCCCTATTATTGTTGTTTTTTCGCTTGTTTAAATAAAAATCTCCAGCCAGTCCTGGGATTCATGGATTTTATGCCCTCTGACCCCAGCAGCAATGGGATTGCTCTCGGATTTAATGAAAATAAGCCCCTGAGCATTACTGTTCCAGCAAGGAAATGTGGGTTATAAATCGGTACTCTGGGAAAAAAAACTTGGACAATGACTTCAGTCCTATGATTTTGAAGCATCTAGTTGGATATAATGTTAAAATTACTTTTTTAACTCAAGGCTCTGTTTTGTTTTTAAAATCCCTTGATTCTTGTGTCCTCTGAAAGGATAGTGGCCGCAGGACAACTGCCCCTTGGCCAGGGCACTAATTTCTGGCGGTCCACCCTGAGCCAGCAAGCCAGGGCCCACCCATCCTCTCGGAACCAAATTCTTGGCAGTGGGACTTTGTTCCAGCTGTCTTCCAGGCTCTCTCTAGCTCTCTACTTCATGCTCTAAGAATCTGTAAAATCCACAGACTCCCTGAAGCAGCAGTGACCTTTTTCGGAGTGACCTTTTGAACTCTAGCAGAGACCAGTGTTTGGGATAGCATTGAAGCTTCGAGGCCGGGGAGCCGCTGTGTGTGTGTGTGTGTGTGTGTGTGTGTGTGTGTCTACAGGGGATGGGGGATTCAGGCCCTGGGCCTCATCCATCAGAGCCTACATACTCAGTGTGAAGGCATTTCTGATTCCATACTTACTAGGCTACACTTACATTGAAAAAAAAATTTTTGCTATTTGGGGAGCATATCTGGCAGTGCTCAGGGCTTACTCTTGGCTCTGTGCTCAGGGATCACTCCTGGCAGTGCTCAGGGCTGTGTGCAAGGCAAGAACTCTCCCTGCTATAATATCTTTCAAGTTCTACCAAGTAAAGGGTGTTTGGAGGACTTGCTCGGGATGCAAGATGCACGCTGAAAGTAGACTCTAGACCAAACACGATGGTCACTCAATACCTCTATTCAAACCACAACACCCTAAAGGAAAGAGAGAGCAAAAGGGAATGCCCTACCATAGAGGTGGGGTAGGGTGTGGGGTGGGGAGGAGGGCTACTGGGTACATTGGTGGTGGAGAATGGGCACTAGTGTAGGGATGGGTACTTGATCATTGTATAACTGAAACCCAAACCCAAATATGTAAGTCTACAACTGTACCTCATGGTGTTTCACTAATAATAATAATAATTATATATATATATATCTTTCAAGTTCTAAAGAATTTTTTTTGGGGGGGAGGGACTGGAGCAGTGGTACAGGTGTTAAAGCTCTTGGTTTGCATGCCCCTAATCCTGGTGCCCCATAGGGTTCCCTGAGTACCACCAGGAGTGATCCCTGAGTGTGGTCCCCAAATAAAATCTTTTTTTTTTTTTTAAATTTAGGTAGCTTCCAAGTAATGCTTGGGGATGGGATGCCACTGGACAGTACTTGACTCACACACAGACAGTTCTATGGGAAGGCTTGGTGTTATACTGATGGGGCCTCACGGTTCTGGGGAATGTCACACCACTCTGGTCCTGCTCCAGGGAACTTCAGACCTACACCCAGCAGTGCTGGAGATCGAATGGGGTCTCACACATGTAAAGCATAAATGCACCCTGAGCACTTGATTCATCTCCTGGCCCCTCCACTTACATTATGAGAAAAAAAAATTCTCATAGATCTCACACACACACACACACACACACATACACAAACACACATACATATGTGCACACACACATACACATACACCCACACACACTCATAGATATATTCCACTTATTTAAGATAACTCCTCAGCAGGGCAACTATTCCTTTCTAAATATTGGGATTTGCAGGAAAGGTCAAGAGTGTGGAGTCTGCCTTTGGGCAGAGGATAGTGGTGAAAGGACTTCTTCAATGGTGCAAGATTGAGCTGGGGACAAGGAAGCTGTAACTGTAACTTTTTTTTTTAAATTTATTTATTGAATCACCATGAGAACAGTTAGAAAGCCTTCAGGCTTAAGTCTCAGTCATACAATGATCAAACACCCATCCCTTCACCAGTGCATATTTTCCACCACCAGGAACCCCAATATACCCCCATCCCACCCTTCCCCATGCCTGTGAGGCAGATGATTTCCACTTAACTCTCTCTCTCTCTCTACTTTGATTACATTCATTATTTCGAGAAGAGATGCACCGCTATTATATGGAATTTTCCTCCAACAAACAAACCTGCTGAAAAGGCATCATGAAATAATTTGTTTTCTATTGCTGGTTATAAAGACTATATGATGTCGTGGCTGCGTGATTTTGGATTTCGATATTTTACTAATTAAAAGTCTGGAGGGGTTTCTGCCAAAAGCCACATAGTTCCGAGATTGGTTTGTGTGCCCCTCTGGGTCCATGGCTGTGCCGGAGAGCCACTCATGGGGGGGGGGGGGCCACTTGTGGTCTCGGCAGGGCGGGAAGGCCGTGCTGGTTCTGCCCCCCATCCCAAGAGGCTGCAGTTGTCCCATCACCGCCAGCTCATACCTGGCTGTCCAATAAGCTCTGAAGCAGCGGCCACCATGCTGCCAGGGGGAAAATGGCGGAAGAGACAGACATCCTTTCCCTCCTGGGGGTGGGGGGGGGCGCACAGTGCCATAGCTTAATGTGTAGTCCATTCACATTTCTGCTAGAAGCTGCTAGGTTTCGAATGAGGTTCGTGTGCCTCTGGGGCCATGGCCGTGCCAGAGAGCCACTCGTGGGGGGCAACTCGTGGTCTCAGCAGGGCAAGAAGCTGTAGCTGTAGCACTTGTTAGTCTTACTAGCAATGCAAATCACCTTTCCCTTTTCTTGATTTGGTTCATAAATCAAGTTATAAATGTACAGGGTTTATTTAGCCAGAATCAAGGGCCTCTTGTGGTGACTGTGCTCAGGTCCTATCTCGCCATGGGTGGTGCTTTCTAGGCCATGGAGCCACCTTCCAGGCACCACGTAATTTCCTTTTAATTTAAAATCAAATGACTGTTTAAGATTTGACAATGAACATGGGGTAGAACATGTGGCTCCAGTGGTAGAACATGTGCCTCCCAGGTAAAAGGTCCTAAGTTTGATCTCCGGCACTGTGCACCCCCCTGAGCACCCCTAGGGTGACCCCAGAGGTCCACAACAAGTTGAGCTCTACTGGGAAGGACTGTATCTCTGATACTCTCTTATACACATGTGATAATGCTGGACCATGGAGCAACTCAGGGGTAGAGCTCATGTCTTGAATTTGTGAGGCCCTGAAGTTGAGGTGGCCCCACCAATGTGCATTCTGAGCACTGCCAGGAGTGACTCCACAGCACTGCAATAGCAACAACAAAAACAAGTAAATGAATAATATATATAGCCCAGCCAGGAACCTGTTGAATCTTCTGGGAGTTCTTAGAAGAAGAACTCTTAAATAATCATAAATTATTTATTTCCCCAAGTTGAATTTGAGTTAAAATAAAGTTCTAAGGGAGGAAATGTTTTATTTTTGTAAATGTTCATTTCTTGTGGTTCAGTCTTTAGAAGTGATATTCTCAACTAACTGGGCTTTGGCCTTTCCACAGAGGGAGTGAGGTGTGTTTGCAATCAGCTCTCACTCACCACCAAGATTGATGCAGAACACCCTGAACTCAGAAATTACGCTCAGAGTCAAGGCTGGTGGATGGGCGAAGATGAGTTCAATTTTTCTGAAGTTTTTTCTCCAACCAATGAACAACTAGACTGCTGTGCTGGCAAAGAGAGCTTAGAAAAGCAAGAAGGTGAGTTAGTGCACACCTTATAATTCTCCCATTCTTACCTTTGTCTTGCGGCTCTTTCAGAGAACTTCATCTTTTGTAACACTTATTGCAGTCATTCTCACTGGTCAACGTTCATAAATTTGATTTAACTTCTTCCTATATTTTCTTCCCCTATCAAGTCTAGCTTTGAATCTTAGAATCGTGTGATTCCTGTTTTTGTTTTGTTTTTGTTATTTTTTCCGATTTTTGGGTTACACCTGGTGATGCTCAGGGACTACTCCTGGCTCATGCACTCAGAAATTACTCTGGGCGGTGCTTGGAGGACCATATGGGATGCTGGGAATTGAACCTGGGTCAGCCACGTGCAAGGCAAATGCCCTACCCACTGTGCTATTGCTCCAACCCCTGTTTTTTTCATTTTTAACTTATTTATTGACTTTATTTAAACACCATCGTTTACAAAGTTGTTTATAATACAGTTGTTATGGGCATTTAGTGTTCCAACACCAATCCCACCACCTGAATGACCTTCCCTTCATCATTTCTCCCATTCCCCCAACCACACCACAAGTATGTCCCCTTATTAGGCACAAAATAATTTATTTTATATTGCTTGTTCAACCACATTATCAAAAATTGTCAAAAACACTTCAGTAGAAGAAAATTTGCGAAAATTTTTAGAACTTACCATGGGGTCATTAAGTCTTCGAGGTTTTTTTTTTTTTTTTTTGGAGAAATACCCACCTTCCTCTGGTCAGGATTTATCCCACAGCCACACCTAGCCACCGGGAAGCCACAGGGAAGCTGTGAGCAATGTACCCAATGGTTGTGTTCCCAGCTCTAGTTCCAGGGATTTGGGAACAAGAAAGAAACTTGATTTGGGGTTATAGCTCTTCCCTCTCCCTCTTTCTCTACAGAAAGCATCACAGTGCAGACTATGATTGATATCTTACGGGACAAAGCCGGTGGTGTCTGCATCGACACTGAGACTTTCCTCACCACAGCCAGCGCCGTCTCTGTGCTGCCTCAGAACAGAAGCTCACCGTGCATTCACTACTTCACTGGGACCCCAGATCCTGCCAGGTTTGTCTGAGTTTGCCCCTGCCTGACTTCCCTGACAGCTCCTCCAACAAACCTCCACTGAGTTCTGCAGCCTCCTTCTAGACCCGAGTCCCATTTTTCACTCAGTGTGGTCATTGGAGCACCAAGAGCTTCAAGCAATCTGTCCGGTTGTATGAGACATTGTGTGTTAGGGCGTCGCTTTCTGCTTATGGACGCCAACAAATGGGCTGTGTGACTCAGCAGCTAGGAAGTGAGAGTGGGGGTTAGAGCATAGTACAGAGGTAGGGCATTTGCTTCACATGTGGCTCACCTAGGTTCAAGTTCAATTTCCAGCACCCCATATGGTTCCACCAGAAATGATCCCTGGATACAGAACCAGAAATAACACCTGAGTACTGCTAGGTGTAGCCCCTTCTCTCTTAAATGAAACAAAAAGCAAAACAAAAAAAAATGAGGATAATCGCTAGGGCTGAGAATTCCTCTCCTTTCATTTTGTAGCCGGATAATCTCTCTAAGCTTCCATTTCTAGACTGTACACTGCCCCCTACCCCTACCCTTAGGTGCTTGTAGGAAACATTTAGTGAAATAATTCTGGTAAACACAGACTTAATCACTATTTATTAAGATGCTCTCTGACATACCAGGTAGTTAGTAGGTTGTTTCCCCAGGAATGTTCAGATTCTTACAACACAAATTGCATGACCAGTAGCTTAGACACAACCAGTTTTTAAATCTGTTCATTTTTGGTATTACTTGAGTTTGTTTTTGAAAGCTTTAGATACCTTAACCCAAATCTATTGTATCACAGTCTTTGAGGTGTATCTAGGAAATATTCAGGTCTGATATTGGCCTAGGAAAGTCTGAAAAATGATTCATTCTGGTTGTTTCTTTGGTATTCTTCAGGTGTTCCTCTGACTGAAAATCATTATACTTTAAATATTGAATGTCAAGCATGACTCTGCTGCTAGAGAAACTTTTGCTTTTATTCCCTTTGCAGCCAAAACGATTTATTTATTTATTTGCTTTTTTGGGTCACACCGGGGGATGCACAGGGGTTACTCCTGGCTCTGCACTCAGGAATTACTCCTAGTGCTCAGGGGACCACATGGGAATTGAACTCGGCTTGGCCACGTGCAAGACAAATGCCCTACCCGCTGTGCCCTACTCCAGCCCCCTGAAACCATTTATTCTCCTCTCACTGTTTCAGGAATTTAATCACGCATGTGCTCAGCTATAAGACTGTCCAATGGTATCTGGTGACCTGGATACACAGGGCCGATTCTAATGTAGTCCATGACTGACGGCCAATAGGAGTGAACTACAGGCTGATGGCACAGTAGATAACTTTATTCAGAATAAACAATGATTATATAGGGGCAAAAAAGGATGCAGTGCATGTGGGATGAGGGCAGTTGATAAGTGAGAGGCGAAAGATTAGATTCGTCGTTACATGGAAGAGATTGGTACAAGCAGAAGCAAAATTTCTTGTCTAGGTTCCATAGGTGTCAACGTCCCGCATTCCAAACCCAGGCTCCAGTAATTGCCAGTAATTAATATATACTGATCTCAGGGAAATGTCACCCCCTGTCAGGTCCTGGAAGTGTTCTCGAAGTTCAGCCAGTCTAATCAGTTTCAGAGCTTTGCCAGCAGGAGCTCCAACACAGCTGGACACTATTTTCTAGATAATTTAGGTGGCGGGGGTGGGGGGAACACTCCTGATCCCTATCATTTTTAAAAGGCCAATTTCAATAAAACTGACTCACAGCACGTGAGCTAGTCTTTTTTTATTTTTCATTCACATACTTGCTCATTCATCAAGCACTTATTAAGCACCTATAGCACCAAATGCTGTGCTTGTTGAGTAGTGGGGTTGAAGTGTACAGGGTCAGAGTGTACAGAGTAAGAGGCAGCACAAAACAGATAAAGAAGGAGAGTGTCACATGAAAGCATTGGGCATTGTGGGTAGAGGAGGAGTTGATTCGCTTCCAAGAAGCAGGAATAACATACTCAGTGGAGGGAAGAGTTTGTCCAAAGTTAAAGGCAGAGGCATAGAGAGAGGCATGAAACAGCATGGCAAACGTGCATGGTTCCTTGAATTAAGCGTCCATCTCTCCAGTAAGTCAGTTCAGTTACCTGCTCTTGGCACTTCTACTTTCTGAACTTCATGCACTCAGCAGGATGACAGACAAGCTCCTGTCAATCTCCCCTGGGGGTTCTAACCTAACATGTTCCCGTGTTCCCCCCTCTGTGGGCCCTCATACCTGGCCCACAAGGATATATGTGGGATGGAGAGCCCTCCACGGAAGCAACTGGAGTAACTGCACTGTTGCTTAAGCTTTAGGACCGGGGTGCTGACAGGTTGGGTTGGTCTGCAGAGTGACAGCACCTTTGTCCTCTGTCCCTGATGTCACAATTCTTGCCTCTCTATGCTCAGCAGACAGGCTTTTGTGCTGCCATCATTCACTAATAAAAAGGAATTCTGTTCCCTAGGCTGCAGCATACACCTAATAAAATTAGAGAAACAGATTGGGACATAACTTTCTAATATTTAAAATGGAAAAATTCAAAAGAAAACGATTCCTGGTGAAATGAATGGAGCAAGGATCTGCCAGGCATCTATTGTTTGCTGGTCCATTAAATGAGCTCCTGTAGAGTCTTTTTATGTCCTATTCAGCATTTCCCTGTTTCGCTGTAATTGGGCATGCTCAACATTTTGTATTTTGTCAGCTGGAAACAAACTTATCTGTTCTGAGGTTTTTAGGTAATAAAATTAGGTACACTGTAGTTGGCTTTGGCTAGTGCTTAACCCAGAAATGTTTTCAGGAAATAGCTATGGGAGCCCTGGATTTGCAGCAGATGGGGGATTAAAGGACAAGGCGGGGCCTCACTTATCCCCCCCATGAAAATTAGAAATGAGTGGACATAATCTCGCTATTGCCAGACTGTTTCTGCCCTTCTATGCCCTTTGCCCACTGGGCTGGTTGTAGTTATTTTCTGCAAAACAACATCTTCTTCTCACTCTTCTCTTCGTCCCTGGTAGTATACCCTGGGACGAATAAATTTAGAACTGAAAGGAGATGCACAAGTCAGAATTTAAGAGTCAGAGAATGAAGTAAAAGACCTTAGTTCATTTTCATCAAGAGGGAAAATTTTGTCCTGTGATTGGAAAGTAGAGTCCTCTGTGGGCTCAGTCCTCAGTGGGCCTCCTGGAGAGACTTACTGGCTTTCACTAGCCTGGCCTTGGGAATCCTTTCTGCAGGCAGGAGCCTTTACTTGTTAACGTTCCATTGATGGGAAGGATTAGTGAGGAGGGGGCAGGCCAGCAGCACCCCAGTGCTTTGAGAATCTGTAATTGAGGAATGTTTGTAGTGTGCACAGCTAGCTGTGGACAGCCAGGGCCGGTGGGAGCTGATGTGGAACCTCTTCCCCACACCCCATGTAGGCTGCTGCCACCTTGGGGGCCGGAAATGCCACAATGGCATAGACCCACCATTGAAACCAGCAGGTGCCATGAGACAGGGGGAGTTTTTCAGAAATACTAGTTGCTAAACCAGCACACTACCAGGATTCACAGCATGTGTGAGAAAGCATGCAAATCCTCAAGATACAGAATGGGGGAAACCAAAGAGAGAGGACTTAGAAGTTTAAATATGAGTAGGCTACACCACATCCCACTTCTCTGATGGTGTGAACTAGAATGTCTCAGTCTTGGGAACTGGAGGAGGAACTTCTACAGAAATAGGAGAAATGCAAGGGCCATGGTGTGTGTGTGTGTGTGTGTGTGTGTGTGTGTGTGATTATGTGAATGTGTGTATGAGAGTGTGTTTGTGTGTGTGAGTGCATGGTTTTATGTGAGTGTGAATGTGTGTTTGTGTGAGACTGTGTGAGTATGTGAGGGATACTCACATGTATGCATGAGCATGGTTTTTCGTGAGTGTGAGAATGTGCATGAACATGTGTATATGTAAATGTGTGTGTGTCTGTGTAAGAGTGTGTGTTTATGTGTCTGAGAGTGTTGCTTGTGTGTGTAAGAATGTGTATGAGTATGTGTTTGTGTGAGTTTGTGTGTTTGTATGAGTGTTTTTGAGAGTGTAAATATGTGTGTGAGCATTTTTGTGTGTTAGCATGTGTGTGCAGGTATGTGTGCTTGTGTGAGAGTGTATTTGTGTGTATGAGGAAAGAGAGAGAGGAGAGAGAAAGAGGAGAGAGAGAGAGAGAGAGAGAGAGAGAGAGATTTCCTCTCCTTCTCCCAGTGAATCAAGTTGGAAAGTCTAAATTGGATCAGCAGAGATGTCTGAACTGGGTAATGTTGGCTGCACGCAGCACCTTTTGATTCTTGAAGCTATCAGGGGCCTTAGCCACAGGAGCTGGGCAGGTCACAGTCTGCACAGACAAGCCCAGAGCTGAGGGTCTGATGCAAAATAGAGAGGCTCTGCCTGCACCTCCACTCCTATCCCTCCCTTCCCTATTGCCCTGCACTGTTGAATTCTCAAAGCCTCCCAGAGCATCTGGGTCCAGCCCCAAGGCTGCTGGTGTGGTTTTGACTCTGTGACTGAAGTGACTCCAAGCAAAGTCGAGTGACCCACGGTTGCACTGTTCCGAGGTTACCTGCAGCTGGGGGAGGTGCAGGTGCCTTTCTGACTGGCCCAGTTTAGTCATCTAAGCCAGACCTGCATGCTGTTTCCTGAGCCCGGCACCCTCTGGCATCAGCTGGGAACTCCCCCGCCACGGGTCTGGCTTGGGAACTTCAGTAAGAACAGACCCGTTTCTGGGGAGAGAGTGTTGGCCAGCCTCTGATATTCAAAATGTCGAAGTTCTGAGGGTATTTTATGTTTCTTCAATAGCACAATGTCCATGGGGGGAAAATAGCAACAGTTTAAGGGTGCAGGGTAGTGGGGGAAATGATGCTAGAGCCAGAAGACGTGGATTTAGCTCTGTATCTGGCACGCTCTGAGGAAAGTGCTTTTGGATCAAGTCCGTAGCTTCTGTGAGCTTTGGTTCTCTCCTCTATAAAATGGGACTGGAATTTTTGCCTTGTTAGAAGAGTATCTCATACTCAGCAGTCAACATTTTGAATGTATAAATGGGGTTTCCGCGAGAATTGAGTGCAAGCACACTGAAAATTAGGATGCAGTAGAGGCTGGGGAGATAGTTCAGTGGTCAGGGATACGTGTCTGGCATGGACTGGACTTGAGTTCAAATCCTGTTCCCCCAACACTGCGGGGTTATCCCTGCTCGTCTCTGGCTCTCAGGCCCTCACGTTGAACCGCTGAGAGTTGGCTGAGACCGTGAGACACAGAGTTGGCAAAGATGTCTTCCAGAATACATATTTTCTGCCCTTCACTCAAAAGTGTCACAGTCTTGCAGGGCCAGAGACACACCGCAGGAGCCGTGCTGCTCTGTGAGCTGCCAGCCTCTGTGCCTGGCGCTTGCCTTGTCACGGTGTCCACTAGAGCTGCTCACGGCCCTGTTCTGTGTCCTGACCCAGCTCCCTCTTCATCTCATGGCTGGAAGCATTTTCATCTGCTATGTCCCCATCTCAGACTCAGGTAACCCCCTAGGGGACTAAGTCATTCTGCGCTCCACTAACAGGAAGTACCCTGTAAGGAGGCTGATCCCATCCCACATGGTCAAGCCCTCCCCAGATCTGTCCCTCACCAGGGGCAGTTACCATGGATACCATGGGAGATCCACTTCCGAGGCTTGCAGTTTTTCCCAGCATAGGACACAGCATAGAAAGTTCCAGAAGCTCCGTCTGCTCTATCCTCACTGGGACTGGGCTTCAGAGTGACTGCCGACCCTGAGATTCACCCTGGTCCTTCAGCCCACCCTGACCTCCTGGGCCCTGACCAGCTCGCTCACACAGACTTTCATTCCTCTGTGAGGAGTCCCCATTGGAGCCTCTGGGATCCATGTGTGTAAAATCTCTCCTCTCCCTGAGAGGCAGGGGAGGGTGAGAGCAGAGAGACAGAGACGACAGAGAAGAGCATCTCAAGCAAACTGGTAGAAAGAGCGGACATCCTGCTCTTGGTACTGCATGCCTCTTTGCCTGCTTGACCTCACTGAAAGGGCCCCCCTGAAACAGTCTCCCCCCGCAGGTGATGGCCTCTCGCTGTCAGTGGGTGGGTGAGTGAGCGACAATGTGCTTATTCCACCACCTACTGAGGCAGATGCTGTATCTCCCCAGAGTCACCCCCTGTCCCCGCCTCAGAAGGCCTCAGGATATGTTTGCTGAAGGGAAACCTCCCACTCTGTCTGACAGAACCACCTCTCCGTTCTTTCCAGGTCCATATTCAAGCCTTTCATCTTTGTTGATGACGTGAAACCCGTCCCCAAAACTCAGTCTCCCTATCTGGGGGATGACGACCCTGCCAAAAAGGTGCCTCGGTTCCAGGAGAAGCCGGACCGCCGGCATGAGCTCTACAAGGCCCATGAGTGGGCACGCACTCTCATCGCGAGTGACCAGGTGAGGACGAGGGCTGAGTAGGGAGGTGAAGTGAGCCAGCACCTTGTCCCCAACTCTTGCTTGTCTCCTCCCAGAAATCTAGTCTCCCAGGACATTCCCAGAAAGCTGGGGGCCACCCTCCACCCAGTCTCTTGAAACCAAAGTAAAATACAAAACAAAAACCACCAGCGAATAAAATGAAGTCACCACTTTGATATATTCTACAACTGGGGGCTAAGGATCTCCCTCTTTATTCACTGGTTAAAAATAATAGAAATGCACAGGTTTAGTAGGCAAACCTGCTTTCTGCTCTCTAAAATTCTTGGTATCCTGGGGAGAGAGAATAAATTTGTTCATGATAGCAATACTTTATTAAAGCATTTAAAGATAGAAATACTTCACTCAAAGCAGCCCAGATCCTCTGTTATCTAAGAGAGTGATTCTTCAAAAGAGTTTTGGAACTGATTAATGATAGATTTAGGCGTATAGATTTAGGTGGCTGACCTGTGCACTGACAGATGGTTAAAATGGTCAGATTTATCTTCTGTATATTTTATCACAGTAACTTAAAAATTATTTTCAAGTTGCTAGTTTTTAAAAAAGTTACTAAAAATTCTATTTGCTTCTCCCTATAAAACTTTGATGAGGAAAGTTACAGCACATCAATTTAAGCAAATCAACACCCACCTTCATATTCCCCGGTGTCCAATAAATGCCCACAAAGGCCTCTCAACTTTCATAGGCAATCAAGCCTCTGTTTTAACTGAGGAAGGAGGAAGTAACAGGTTTGTTAGATGCTCGTCTGCATTGGTACACACCAAATGTGCTTGCTCATCTGTGTTACAGGAATGGCCACTTTGGTGAGTAAAAGCTGCACAGTTATTTTATAGCCATTCTTCAATCAAACCTTTCCCTGAGCCATGAATGGTACAACCACGCAATGTGGAATTTTCTTCAGAGCTGTCCAAATGAGTTTCCCAGGAGGCTTGCTTCCTAGGTGGAGGACAGCAAGGTCCAAACTGAGTTCAAATGTCACTCTCTGGTATATGGGTTTATAGATATTGGCAAGTAGAGAGAAAGGTTAGTGAGTTCTGAGATATTTTGCATAAAATTTCAAAATGCTGAGGTGAAGATGGTGAACTTCAAAGTTTGAGTCAGTGCAGACTTTGGAAATGATCTGCAGGTGGTTTGAGTAGCCTCTCTCTCCTGGAATTACACAAATAAATTATGTAAATGAAAAATTTTTCACTGTTGACTGGAATGATTCCCTTTTGGAAGAAGAGCTCTTACCATATCAGAAAAAAGTAAATTAGGAATAGACATGGCATTGATCCATTTTCTCATCCAATAAGCATTTATTGGGGGTGTTTGTTATGTGCCAGATAGTGTAGGGCAGAGACAGGCCTAGTTCTACTCTCCATGTCTAATGGGCAAGTGGATAGATGAATATAAGGGAGGGAGGAAAACCATGATGGTGTAAAGACGTAGTCCAGCGGGGAACTGGAACAGAAACTTTCAGAGAGGCCAGAGATGGGTGCAGTTTGACCAGGTGTTGAAAGAGGGCAGGGGGCGGGGGTGTATATGCAGAAAACAGGATCAGATAGTACAGAGGGCAGGATGTTTGACTTGCACTGTGCCAACCTGGGTTCAATTCCCAGCACTCGGTATAATCCCTTGAGCCCAACAGGAGTGATTCCTGAGCACAGAGCTAGGAGTAAGCCCTAAGCATTTCTGGGTGTGTCCCAGAAACAAACAAACAAACAAAAAGCAAGATCACCACACAGGTGGAGAGAAAGTGCCATGGTTTCAGAAATGTAGCTCCTTCAGTCTGGCTAAAGAGAAGGAGGACTGTGGGGCCATGTTAAAATGGAGGCCTTGTATGCTACAAAGAGCCTTCCCAGACTTCCCCTGGATTCTTGGTTATTCCCTGGGAACTGCGGGCTGTTATATAGATGGTCCAAGCCGAGCAGCGCCAAAGCCAGGAGGATCCCTGGGTCAGTCTTGTAGGAAACTGGTGGCCTGGACCCCCCAGGGAGACCGTGCATGTCCCTTTGCCATGGTGCCCATTGTCTGTTCCCTCAGGAGCAAGGCCACAAGCTGAGGACGACTATGTTGGAACTAGAGAAGCAAGGCCTGGAGGCCATGGAGGAAATCCTGAGCAGCTCCACCCCCCTGGACCCGGCAGAGGTGGGGGATCTATTCTATGACTGCGTTGACACGGAGATCAAGTTCTTTAAGTGAAATGTGCATTACTCCTCCCCTTCTTATTTAAATTTTTCCCACCTTACTAAATTACCAGCGATACAAACCGCTCTTCTGAAGGACTGAAATGAGGAATGTCCTGATGTGGTCTTTGTGCCCCGAAGCCAGATGCAACTGTGAACTTGTATTCTGCCTTGACTCTTGAAACGGCCCCTTTCCCCGACGGCAGGTCCCTTCCTTTGCAGCGTGACATGTACCCCCCTTTGCCTGTGGCTCAACTGTGTGACTCATTGTGGATTTGCAGCTGCTATTCTTGGGTTTCAGTGACAATGGACACATTAGGCTTCTCACGGGATGACTCGCTTTGAAAGACAGCCTCCGCCGTGCTGATTGGTGGGAAAAGCGAACTCTTTGGAAAAATTACTCCTTTTCTCAGTAATGGCTCCCTTTCAGGTTAACAAAAGGCATTTCTTTGCTGGGCCCAGGCCTCTTCTCTCTCCTGTGTGTATAGGGGCTCAGGGGGTGTGTAGGCCCACCCTGGTTCTTTTTCTCCCTGGGTGCACATCTATAGAGCACTGGGTCTTCTGGGAACAAAATCTATGGGAAAGAATGGGGGGTGGGGGGAAGCCCTCCAGGGCCTGGCTCCATCTTGATTCCCATGATCCCAGAGGATGCCTCTCCTGTGCACCCTTTTGGCGTGCACTAGATGTGCACGCTACTTCCAAGGACAGGAAAGTCAGGCACTTGGATTAGCGGGAACCAGCCCACATGCAGATTCAGAGGCAGCCACACGGGGACATTTTGCTGTGTCCCCATTAAGCAGAGCTTGCTGTCCTGACATACCCACCCACCGCCCTCCAGGGTGAGTTTACGTGTAGAAACCATCTCAGGCCGGGTTCCTCCCATCTTGTTGAGGATTAATGCAATGGCCCCGTGGCAGAGTTCCACCCAAGAAGGCTGCATATCTCTCAGCTCATGAGGGGAAGGGGGCGGGGGTGGGGAACTCTTGATATTTTGGGTTCTGGCTAAAGTAACTGGAATCCAAACAGCCCCTGTGTGATCTCAGCAGAAACTTGAATCAAGTTGGTTTGTTTCCAAGGACGTGTTCATGGGAAGGATTCGATTTAATGACCAGAACTTAGGAAAGCCTGGGAAGAAGAGCAGATGGGCTCAGCATTTGGGGAGACAAAGAGCAAGAAGGTGACAGATGGATGGAGATGACATTTCACGCCAGGGCATCGGCTCAGCCCCCCCATCACCCCAGCCTGTTACAGCCCGCAAAGCTGTGTGGAAGCAGCTGACTCTCCTGGTCCTTCTTGTTCCCCACCTTCTGCCTCCCCTGTAGCTGCATTCAGACAGGAGCTGAAGTTGGGTTGTTGTTGGTGGAGGTGTGTGGTGATGGGAGCTTGCCTTGAGTTATTGAAACGCTCATTCATTCCTGAAAGGGAAGGGGGCAGGGATGGTAACAGAAGTGTACAGTAATCTGGCAGCTCGTGAAAGGAGCAACGTAATCACTGCAGTTTCAGAGTTTGGGCCTGAACACACCTCGTCACTAGGAACATTTGCAAATGGAGGTGAGGCGTAGTGCAACAAGGAGGGCACTTTCCTTGCATGTAGCTCACCTGGGGGTCAGTGTCTGTACCCCCAATGCCCCCCCCCCCCAAGCCATGCTTGAACGGTCCATGAGCACAGTCAGGTATGGCCCAAAGAGCAGACACCAACTAAACAAGAAAAGCAGTTTGCTAAGGGGATCGCTTTGTGAGTAGTCTTGGAAGTATTAGAACAAAGAATTCCTCATCCACCATAGGTCATGAAGGCCTTAAGAGCTGGAAGGGATACAGCCGCTTCTCCAGATGGAGTTGCTGAATGCAGGCTCGGTGTTCCGAGTCATGAGAATAAGCCATTTTCCCGAACAGCTCACCTTTCAGAGTATATGTCTAATGGTACCATGGGCTGTTAGCCTGCAATTTCATACTTTTTTTTTTCATGCAAAATCACTAGCTATAAATGGTGGGAGGGCCAGAGAAAGACTTTGAGCAAAATAAAGGCAGTCAAGTGTGGTGGTGTATAGCTGCCCTGGGTTTCATGCTATAAACTAGGGTCTACTCTTAGGCAGAGTAGCTCTTCTGGAAGCTTCTAGAGTTGCTGATGTGGGGTGGGGGGAGGGGAGGTGTAGTATGACATAGCACTCTCTTCCCTGCATCAGGTCACCCGTCAAATGGTTATTTTAAAAAAAAAATAATGCCGAGGGCCCCACAGCACTTCACCACATTGTCCCTGTCAGAAAAGCATTTCCTCAGTCAGACCTGATGTCATCCGACTTCCCCGGGCACCTCGGGCTTAGCCCAGTCCAGTGAGAATGAAGGACAAAAGGCACAACTTCCTCTATTATGGGCCAGACAAGGTCACATATTACCCAGATAGCACCGTGCCTTTACCTAATTATTGTGCAGCGGGAAACACAGTGGCTATGGCTTTGGTGGGACCTTGACCTCTCTCCTCCGAGAGAGGAGGCCGGGTCCTGACCCGGAGGGGATTGTGCAGGCAAATGCTGCCCATCCCAGTTGTTATGTCCCAGTCTTACCACTAGGGGGCACAGCAGGCCTCTGTGGCTCAGCCTGGGCGACATTCAGGGGCAGGAATGCTCCTCCCCCATCCCCCACTCCCCCGCGGAAAGGTGGCCTGTGAGCAGTGGACACCAGGAGAGAAACAGAAACAGTGAGTCCTTCTCATGCAGTGGGATGCGCAGGGAAAGTGACAGTGAGAGCCAAGAATGTGCTTTTGTGGCCGCTCTGCTTCTTAAGACATTTCTCTAGCTAAACTTGAAGTGTGCTATTGGATTTCGAGGAAGGGGAAGGAGGATTTTTGTTTTGAAATGCCCCTAACAGACTTTGCTTTTGAAAACAACGCCCTTCATTATGTGATGATTTCTTGAACTAGGACCATAATGTTTCCGGGGCCACAGTGCATAACTAGTTTCCTAAAATACCATGTATGTATCCTTGGACTTGGAGGAGGAGCAGGGATGGTGCATGCTCAATGTGGGAAGAGGATGTGGCCTGAAGCAGAGCACCCCCCCAACCCCCACCCTGGCCCCCCTAACCGATCATGAGCTAGTTAGTCTTGCTCAGATAAAGATACCCCCTTCCCTGCCCCATGCTTGAAGGGAGTCCCGGCTGCAGGGGACACGTATGAGCAGGGTGGAAGTAGATCTCTTTCCTTCTCGGAGGTGGGGGTGGTCTGGAGCATTAGGTAGAGAGAGTGGAGGAAGGGTGGGGCTCCTTTAGCAAGCAGGAACACAGAGGTCATATATTACACAGGAGCACAGAGGTCATATGTAAGACAGCGTTGTTCTTAGAAAGCGCTTCCCTTCAAGCTAACACAACAGGCGGATGCCTTGTAGTTAGATTGTAGCCGTCACGTTCCTTCACTGTTAAGTGAATCTTTAAGGGGATGGATGTCAGGATCGAGTAGGTAAACTGAGGCCTCCTGCTGGAGAGTAGGGCCCCGTGCACGGCTGAGCCTGCAGGAAAGCAGGGGACGCTGTGTGTGTGTGTGTGTGTGTGTGTGTGTGTGTGTGTGTGTGTGCAGTGAGACTGCCGAGTGCGTGCTGCGGGGAGTCTCTGCAGTTTATGGGGGCGGCTCTGGAGTCTCTGCAGTTTATGGGGGCGGCTCTGCTGGGTTCTTGGCTGCAGAAAGGGAGAAAGCAGGTGGAGGAGGGGGCAGGTCCCCCACTCCCATGTTCCGAGCCGCCATTCCTGAAGGAGGAGGCAGAAGCAGCGCAGGTGGTATGGCCAGTCTGGGCGGCCCTTCCCTGATGCCTGCTCTTCATTCCACGCGATGCCCAGTTCCAGCATTCCTCCTAAGGCTGGTGTCAAAATGCACCTCACTGACTGACTTCCAACAGTGCAAAATGCCACCAGCACATCGCCTGCGGGAACCAGTATGTACAAGTTAGCAATCATGTGGGGGGATGTGTGAGAGCCAGAAATTGCTGTGGGCAGGGGATAATGAAAAGGGAATCTTGTTTCCTGCAGTGGGAACTGATCGTGTAGTCTTAACGTCTTTTGTACAAGTATCTAGGAACCAGGTATTGTCCCATCCAGTGCTTGCCCTTGAAATTGTCTCTAATTACATTGAGGATACAATAAAACAATACTGATATTCATGTTCGCTTGCCTCTTCTAGCTTGTTTTTCGTGAATAAAGGATAAAGGTGGACGTCCAGGTATAACCGAAAATTACTAGCCGGAATCCTGAGAAAATGAAATCGACTTAGCACTTGCTACATTGTGTGCCGTTCTGTGGATAAAGTCTTTCCCTAAAAATGAACAATGGGGCTGGAGTGATAATATAGCACCTTGCACACAGTTGACTAAGATTTCATTCCTGGCATCCCATGTGGTCCTCTGAGCACTACCAGGAGTGATTTCTGAATGCAGAACCAGGAGTAATCCCTGAGGATAGCCAGGTATGCCCCCGACTCCTGAAAAAAATTAAACAACTGAGTAAAAGGGATAGTATTGCAATTAGGGTGCTGGCTTTGTATGGACTGACCCAGATCCCCCAAGCCCTATCAGAAGTTATTCCTAGTGTGGAGCCAGGAGTAAGCCCTGAGCACCACTGGTTGTGACCCCAAGTCCAGGAAAATTAAATAAACAAAAGTAAGCAACAAACCAGATAGTACAGGAGTCAGAGAGATAGTCCAGGGCTTATGGACCTTGCATGCAGCTGCTCTGGTTCAATCCCTGGCACTGCATATGGTGTTCTGAGCTCCTTGAGGAGTGAGCCCCTGAGCAGAGAGCCTGAGGTAACCCCTGAGACCCCACCCCCAAAATAAACAACAAAACACAGGGAGGCACAGTGCCACATCTACAAGGACTCAAGCTGGAAACAAAACGAACAGAAACCCCAGAGAATGACAAGTGTTAGGAAGGAAGGGAGGGAGGATGGAAGGAGGGGAGGAAGGAAAGAATGAGGGAAGGAGAGAAGAAAGGAAGGAAGGAAGGAAGGAAGGAAGGAAGGAAGGAAGGGAGGGAGGGAGGGAGGGGGGAAGAGAGATGGAGGAAGGAAGGAAGGAAGGAGGGAGGGAGAGAGGGAGGGAGGGAGGGAGGAGAGATGGAGGAAGAAAGGAAGGAAGGAAGGGAAGGAGGGAGGGAGGGAGGGAGGGGGGAGGAGAGATGGAGGAAGAAAGGAAGGAAGGAAGGAAGGAAGGAAGGGAAGGAGGGAGGGAGGAAGGAGAGATGGAGGAAGGAAGGAAGGAAGGAAGGAAGAAGGGAAGGAAGGAAGGATAGAGTAAAGGAGGAAAGGAAGGAAGGGAGGGAGGATGGAAGGAAGGGAGAAGGGAAGAATGAGGGAAGGAGGGAAGGAACGAAGAAGGGAAGAAGGGAAGGAAGGGAGGAGGGAGGGAAGGAAGGAGGGAGGAAGAGAGGGAGGGAAGGAAGGAAGGAAGGAAGGAAGGAAGGAGGGAAGGAGGGAGGGAAGGAAAGAAGGAGGGAAGGAGGGAGGGAGGGAGGGAGGGAAAGCTAGGGTAGTAGCACTCTTCCCAGCATCCTAAGGTGGCACCAACTCTCAGGTCCTTCAGCAGGTGACCGGATCAACAAAAGGCTCATACAAAGGAATATTTCTGAGTCTTTAAAGGAGAAAATCCTGGCAGAGCCGGGCACCCTCCAGTCCTCCAGCCCGCAGACCTGAGCCAGCCTCTGCCACCTGCACTCTGCTCTGCCCTGCTCAGACCTCCCGGCTGCTTCCCTGCTGGTAGCTAGTAACGCCTCACCCTTCCCTCTTGCACTGCTTGCTTCAGAGTCTGGGGGTCTGGAGCTTCTTCCAACCCCACAGCCCTGCCCTCTGTCTCCCCCTCTCCTGCCTGTCTCTAGAAGGTGCCCGACCTTCAGGTGACTGCCCCTCCCTGCTTCCCAACAGTCCATGACTTCTTGAAGTCCATTCTCCACTTGGTCAGGGATCCTGGTGCAGTGCTCTTCCCTGTGACTGGTGCCCACCCTTGGTCAGGGGCCAGCTTGTCCATGCGTCTCTAAAGGGAGAGAGGTCAGCCCCTTCCCACAGATGCTCAGCGCACAGCACCACCTTGGGACTACGTTCCTAGGTGAGATTCCCGCTGGGATCACTGAATTCCAGGCACTGCTCTCTCCTGTTTCCTCTGGGCACAGAGCTAGGGGAGAATGAGTGAACAGAGCAGCCAAGGCCCCAGAAGGCCCAGGACACAGCTTTGCTTCTGGGCATATAGTAAGTCAGCTAGAGGGGCTGCTCGGGGCTTGGTACCATCTCCGTGTCACTGTGGTATCCCCAAGTCGCTACTTATGCCCACGTTCACTGATAAGAAACCAAAGTACAAACTGGGTAAGCCATTGACTTCTCAAAGTATCTGCAAGGCAGATCAAAGCTTCTGATGCCTGGTAACCCCCTGAGGCTGATGCCAGCCACATGGTCCCCTGAGTAATGCATAAGCACTGACCGATGAGTAGACCTTGATTGTTTTTTTGGGGGGGTCACACCTGGCGATGCACAGGGATTACTCCTGGCTCTGCACTCAGGAATTAGTCCTGGCAGTACTCAGGGGACCATATGGAATGCCGGGAATTGAACCCAGGTCGGTCGCGTGGAAGGCAAATGCCCTACCCACTGTACTATCACTCCAGCCCCACGAGTAGACCTTGAGCACCACTGACTGTGGCCCAGACTCTACCCCCCTCTTCAAAAAAAGTGCTCCAGAGTCTGGATGTGTGTTGGTGTCTACTCTGCTCGCTTCAGTAAGGCTCCAGGACCATCCCCATGTCATGTTCCCTAAAGAACACCCAGAAGCCTCATCATAGAGGGGAAGACGGTGTTGCCTGGGGAAGGAGATGTTCCACACTCAGCCAAGCTGGACGCACAGTTAAGTACACTTTATGTTGAAAGTTGCTGAATTTTGTACAGGCCACAGTGATAGTATAGCAGGTAAGGTGCTCGCCTTGGTTTGGTCCCCAGCATCCCATATGGTCCCCCTGAGCCCACCAGGAGTGGTCCCTGAGCACAGAGCCATGAGTAAGCCCTGAACACTGCAGGATGAGGTCCAAAAAATTTTTTTAAAGTTACTGCATTTTAATTATGTTAGAGCATTTATAAGCAAAATTTTCTCTGCCTAGTTCAAATGAGCAAAGCTGAATAGTTTTCTATTTAAAGTAAGAAGAGTATAAGAAATAAGAAATAAGAAAGATTTTCTGTTCTCCCCTTGAATACCTCTTCCCTATCATCAACAAAACTGTATTTGGATTTTTCAAATACCCATTCATTTTGTCAATACCAAGAAACCAAGAAAACATAGAATGTCAGTTCAGAAAGCAAAGTTTGGTACAGCCTACGTTGGCGAGGTCCTGTGTAAGTCTCCTTCTGTTCCCTCCTAGAAGCCTTGGCCTGGATGCTCACAGTTGACGGGAGCGCTATGTGGTGGGTTTTAAGAAGAATTGAGAACATGTCCACATATTAAAGTTTATTAGGTACAAAGAACAGAATCTGCAGAGAGAACATCAATAAATATAAAACACAGGTGAAATATGGGGGCTCTCGCAGATAACAGGGTCAAGCGAGAATGTTCCAGGGAGGAAGGGGGGGTGTTGGGGAGGCTACACCTGTCAGAGGGAACCCAGCGCATGGCATGGGTTAAAGAGCATGGAAGGGTGTGGGTATGGGTCAGGGCATGGAAGGGTATGATCTAGTGACTGGTCTCGAGGAGAGAGGAAGCCTGATTCCTGAGATTTCTCCCTAATCACAATTTTTTTGGTTTCTGCTCTTCCCTATGTCCTTGAATCATTTTCATTTTCCTTCTTTGCCAGTGGTGCAGAACACAAACATGTAACCTCCTCACTGGGGCGGGCTCCTGGGAAAAGGGCTGTTCTTTGTCTAGGGCCGTGATCTTCCTGATCAGACTCGTGACTTTATACAGCTAGGAGGGGAGGGGAGTGGATTCTGACCATTTGGTAACCTTCCAGAATCAACAGGGGAAAAAATAAATCAATCAACTGTTCTTAGAGCAGAGCACTGGCCTCTCAGCCAGTGACCTGGTGGTGGCCAGCTGGCGGGTCTGAAGGCCCTGGAAGGGAGCTGGACCCTGCTCAGGTGTGTCTGTCTGGAACGAGGAAGCTCCTCCTTGATCTTTCCTGCAGACTATAGCTAGGACGCAGCCAGGTGAGGCCAAACCTCGCCTAACCAATGACGCGTGTGGCGACCACGTGGTGTGGGGTGATGGCATTAAGGTTTGACGCGAGAGCTACCCAGGAGCCCTGTTTTCCACTGCTCGTCCCCACTCTCCTCCTCCACCTCCACGCCGCAGAGGCCGGGAGCACTGCTCAGGAACCAGTTTCCCTCTGTTCTCTCCTTCCTCTCCAGGGATGGGGGGCAGGTAGGGGTAGGCGACCCACAAGGACACACTTCCATTCCCCGACCTGCTCCAGGGGAATAAAACATGTGTGCTGACATGTCCGGTCCTGGCGGGGCATCTTCAGGGGCTGCTGCATTTGTCCCCACCCCTTCTCTGAGAGAGGCTGCAGCGTGGGCTGTTGAGTACAGAGCAGGGGATTTTGCCTGTGGATGCTGGTAGGTTGTCAACGCCTGCGAGGGGGTCCCTGGGGATTGGAGGCAGATACTCCACAATACATTGTGTTGATGTTGTTGTTGTTTGGTTTTGGGGCCACACTTGGTGGTGCTCAGGGATTATTCCTGGCTTTGCACTCAGGGTTCACTCCAGGCGAGCTTGAGGGACCACAAATGGTGCCAGGGATTGAACCCGGGTTCTGCCACATGTAAAGTAAGTGTTGGACCCATTGCACTACTGCTCTGGCTCACTTCACAACACATTTGGATCTGTACTTTTTCTTCTCCCGTTTCCCACAGGAAGTCCGAACTCGGGAGAGGAAAACGATCTCTTGAGCCAGAATTGGTTAATTTACTATAAAAAAAAAATGAGGTGCTTATGTGTCTGACTTGCAGGGGAAATACTGAACTCTTATCATCAAGTCGCCCTTGGGCTGGGCCCATGGTGGGAGCTTGGGGGGCAGGAGGAAAGGCTCAGGGCTTGAGCACTGGGCCACTGTAAACAGTAAAAGAGCTTGGCTACTTGTTGGATCATATGGTTCAGTTATAAAAGGGCACTGTGCTCAGCACTGGGGGTTGGGGGAAGCAAGCCAAGGCTTGCCTTGATTTGCAGTATATTTACATTAGGCAGCCAAAATTTAAAAAAAAAATATCCCTGTACTAAGAAATAGAAACAACAGCATGGCCTCGTGCTCACGGAGGCTGCATGGCGCGGTCGGGTGCGGGACACACGGCTCTCCAGGGAGCGGGCATCGCTAAGGCATTGTTTGGTTTGATTTCGCAGTTGGGGCGAGGGAAAAATGAAATCATGCCAATAAGAAGTCGGGGTGGCTGTGACCCTGGGGCCACCATCAAAGGAAGAGTGTTCCTAAGAATGGGTCTAAGTGTAGGAAGGGCAGCACCCACACAGAGGGGAGGTCACAGGGTGGACACAAGAGGAGGGGAACGGGCTCCAGCTGGACAGAGTGACAACAAGGAACAGAATACACTTAAAAATGGGGTAAGTGGGTCGTCTTAAAAATGACTTAAATAAAAGTTGACGACAATACTGCTTACAGCCTGCGCACACCACCTATGTACAATAAATAAATGCTCCACTTGGAACCAGGAGGGCAAGTGAGTCAGCTGGATGATGAGTGGGAGGGACTTGTTCTCTGGGGTGCCCGCCTTGAGGGGGAGGCCCAGGGGGCGCACGGAAACTGGGCTTCATCTGTCTTCTCACCGGAGAGTCTTCATAGCTAACTGTGGAAACAGGAGGTCGGAAAAGGTGGGGTTAGATGGTTCTGCGCACCCCCCACCCCCACCCCAAGGCAGAGACCCAGCAGTGCCACCCGTGTGCAAGGAGCTGAGGCTCTTGGTGGTTTTGGTTTGGGTGTTTGGGCCACGCCGGCCATGCTCAGAGCTCACAGCTGGGGTTGGCCATGTGCAAGGCAAACGTCTTACCTACTGTACCGTCTCACAGGACCCCATGGAATTGAGTTTTACTCAAGGGGTGGGAGATGGGAAATGTGTAGTTGGAGGTTTTTGGAGACCCAATGCCCTCCTAGAGATCTTTTTAACCGCCCAAGTGTGTGTCGAGGGGGAGGGCAGTTAGGATAGAGAAGGGGCCACCGTGACAATGATAGTTGAAAATGATCACTCTGGACAAGAATTGAGAGCTAAAAGGAGGTAAAGGTAAATACATGAGTACCTGTATTGCAACCATCATGCCTAAAAGGGGGGAGGAGAGAGGAGAGAGAGAGAGAGAGAGAGAGAGAGAGAGAGAGAGAGAGAGAGAGGAGAAAAGTGTCTGTCATAGAAGCAGACTGGGGTGGGGAGTGGAAGGAGGGAAACTGGGACATTGGTGGTGGGAAATGTGCGCTGGTGAAGGGATGGGTGTTGGAGCACTGTATGACTGAAACCCAATCATGAGCAATTTAGTAACTGTGTATCTCACGATGATTCAATTAAAAAAATGTAATACATTCATGATTAGAAAATAATCTGGGGCCAGAGAGATGGCTCAGTGGGCTGACCAATGCTATGCCCAGGTACCTCCCTGGCACTGCATGGTCCCCCAACTGGGCAGGATGTGGCCCCCCAAACAGAAACAAAAACAAAACCCAGAAATTTCAGGAATGCATTAGGAAGAAGGTGAAACATCAGTCAGAATCTTCCAGAGTGTCTGCCAAGAGACAACCCTTCCAGTCTTCTTTCCTCTTCTGCAAGGACAGTTTTCCCCAAACCGCTCTCATACGCCCCGTTTTCAACCCGCGATGGCCTGGGAATGGCTACTGCATTTCCTGCCTCTGCTGTGGTTGGCATTTTAGCCTCCAAGGAACTCATCCCAGCTTCCTGGAAGGCCTCTCCCTCCCCTCTCGCTGGAGGCTTGAGAGATGCAGAAGCCAGTGAGCATAAGCACCTGAGCCTCTCCAGTTCCCACAGCTCTGACTGTAAATGTGCCCCAGGAACAAAGGCCGCAAGGGCGAGCCTGCCCTGCTGGGGAAGAGGCTATTTCCTCAAGGAATCTCTTATCACACGACCAAGATCTGGGTCCCCTCAGCAACATCAGTCCCTTCTCACCTTCCAGGTCTGGAACTGTGACTAAACCTTACCTAATTTGGATGGGAGGAGAAAAAAACCCAAAGGAGCTATAAAAATGAAGTGTTTTCTAAAGGAGCAAGAACTAAGTGATGTTTAATTTATGTGTACTTTTCTGTTTTGTGGTCACCCTGAGCTTTGGGTTCACTCCAGGTTCTGAGCTCAGGGATCACTCCTGGCTCTGTGTTCAGGTATCACTCCTGGCTCTGTGCTCAGGAATGACTCTTGGCTCTGTGCTCAGGACTCATTCCTGGCTCTGTGCTCAGGGCTCACTCCAGGCTCTGAGCTCAGGGATCATTCCTGGTTCTGAGCTCAGGGCTCACTCCTGGCTCTGTGCTCAGGGCTCACTCCTGGCTCTGTGCTCAGGGCTCACTCCTGGCTCTGTGCTCAGGGATCATTTCTGGTTCTGAGCTCAGGGATCACTCCTGGCTCTGTGTTCAGGTATCACTCCTGGCTCTGTGCTCAGGAATGACTCTTGGCTCTGTGCTCAGGGCTCACTCCTGGCTCTGTGCTCAGGGCTCACTCCTGGCTCTGTGCTCAGGGCTCACTCCAGGCTCTGTGCTCAGGGCTCACTCCTGGCTCTGTGCTCAGGGATCATTTCTGGTTCTGAGCTCAGGGATCACTCCTGGCTCTGTGTTCAGGTATCACTCCTGGCTCTGTGCTCAGGAATGACTCTTGGCTCTGTGCTCAGGGCTCACTCCTGGCTCTGAGCTCAGGGATCATTCCTGGTTCTGAGCTCGGGGCTCACTCCTGGCTCTGTGCTCAGGGCTCACTCCTGGCTCTGTGCTCAGGGCTCACTCCTGGCTCTGAGCTCAGGGATCATTCCTGGTTCTGAGCTCAGGGCTCACTCCCGGCTCTGTGCTCAGGGCTCACTCCTGGCTCTGAGCTCAGGGATCATTCCTGGTTCTGAGCTCAGGGCTCACTCCTGGCTCTGTGCTCAGGGCTCACTCCTGGCTCTGAGCTCAGGGATCATTCCTGGTTCTGAGCTCGGGGTTCACTCCCGGCTCTGTGCTCAGGGCTCACTCCTGGCTCTGTGCTCAGGGCTCACTCCTGGCTCTGTGCTCAGGGCTCACTCCTGGCTCTGTGCTCAGGGCTCACTCCTGGCTCTGTGCTCAGGGATCATTCCTGGTTCTGAGCTCAGGGCTCACTCCCGGCTCTGTGCTCAGGGTTCACTCCTGGCTCTGTGCTCCGTGCTCACTCCTGGCTCTGTGCTCTGTGCTCACTCTTGGTTTTCTACTCAGGAATCACTGCGCTCAAGGATCACTCCTGGTTCTGTGCTCAGGGTTTGCTCCTGGCTCTGTGCTCAGGGCTCACTAATGGTAGTGCTCAGCAGACCATACGGGGTGCTGGTGACAATCGGCCACATGCAAGGCAAGTGCCTTCTCTGCTGTACTACCTCTCTGGTCCCTGAATGATGTTGTATACCCTCGACAGTTACCTCTCAGCCTTCTCAGTCCCCTGAAGTAGAAGGATGGAGGGTGAGTGGTAATTGTTCAAGCTGGCTTGGTGCGTGGTGGTGATTCTGCGGAAGCAATCCCCCTTCCCACTAACCCACCCCCCTCCCTGCACCCACACGAGCCTCCAGATTTCAAAATGACGCCTGTTTCATTTGGGGCTGAAACAGAGGTCTGCCAAAAGGGCCTTCCCTGAGGAGAAAGCACTGTAGCACTGTCCTCCAGTTGTTCATCAATTTGCTTGAGTGGGCCCAGTAACGTCTCCATCATGAGACTTGTTACTTTGATTGGCATATTGAATACGCCACGGGTAGCTTGCCAGGATTTGCTGTGCAGCGAGATACACTCGGTAGCTCGCCGGGCTCTTCGAGAGGGGTGGAGGAATCGAATCCAGCTTGGCCGGGCTGGCTGCGCACAAGGCAAACGCCCTACCACTGTGCTAACGAGGAGAAAGAGTCTGAGGGAAACCCTGATACAGGAGAAGGGCCAACCCTCACACTTCTATGCTCCCTGAGAATTTCTGGGGTATCAGGGACCCGAGGAAGGAGGGATGAAGAGGGAGTTACCTGAGAGTTTCTGCCTTTGATGTCCTCTGAGCCGGGCCCTGTTGCCTCAGCCTGGAGCCAGGGGCCAGGGGGGTGGCCTGCAAGAAACAGGACGATGTCATTGTGTGTTGGCTCAGGGGTGGGGGTGGGGGGCCCTTCACCGGGATCTCGGCACACGTAGGCATCCGGCGGCAGCAAGCATGTGGCAGCGTGAGACCAGCGACCCGGCCTGTGCGTCTACCTGCTGCGTCGGTCCTGGGCTGTGAGGGCAGAGGCGTCACATCTAGCATGCAGGGTGCAGAGACTCCACGCTATGAGGAATGTGGGGGCCCCTTCCAGCGCCCCGCTGGGTTGCTTTAAGGAGGAATGAAAGCACGGCCTACAGCCTGGGCTGTTCAGGGGGGAATCTCGCTCATGCTGGCAAAGTTTCAGCTCTTCTATCTCAGTAGGGGTCGCCCCCGGCCGTGCTGGGGGGCACTCATGTTGGTGAGAGAGCCAACGCAGCACCAGTGCCCAAGACACCTCCATGGACACACAGACTGTTGGTGACAAGTCACACACAAATAGAGCTCAGAGACAAGAAGCCAAAAAAGGAAAAACTGGTAACAAGGGCAAACAAAAAAACGAGTACCAGTAGGCCCCCAGGCACCCCTTCTTGGCCAGCCTGTCCCCCCTCTCTCATCCTGATTGTCCTCCAGGGTTGATAACTGTTGCAGTTTTGTTTATCCATCACCCCATCCCCACCCCTGCTTTTTTTTTTATCTTTTGCATTTTGCATCTCTCTCTGTCTCTAGCTCCTTTTCTCTGTTTCTCTCCCAATTCAGATAGATGACCCGGTCAAGCTTTTAGTCTGTATCTATCTGAAAAAAGTCAGCTATGTGATTTTGTGGATCCAGCTCCTTTTAATCCACACTCCAGGCTTCCGCTAAGTTTCCCAAGGAGATGGATGGGGCCCCTGGGGCCTCCGGGAGAGTGAGTGAGTCCCTGCATCTCTCTCTCCCCAGCGAGAATGAGTGAGTCCCTGTATCTCTTTCCCCACAGAGAACGAGTGGGGTCCTAGGTGTCGCTTCCTCTGCTGCCTTTGGGGCAGGCCTTTCTCGGCTTTTCTGCCATGGACCGTGTCCCCCACGCTTGTCTGAGCCATTCTGGTGTCTGGGCTCTTAATGGGACAATGTGGAAAAAGCAGTGACCAGAGATGACTTACAAGCGTGGAAAACAAAATAACCTGTGCTCAGCAGAGGGGTTTGGGGAATGGAGAGTTGATTATCTGACGGCCCATCCAGCAGCCTCTGAATGTTTGCAAAGTTTCCAATAATAACGAGGTGGGGTCATGTTTGAAGTTCAGGAGAAAAAGCAGTCTAGAAATTACCTAAAAGGGAATGACCTCAACTATTTTTAAAATTCATAAATGATGTAAACATATTGAATTGTTCCTTTCTGTAACAGGGTTACTATTTTTTTTTTTATCTCAGAAATACTTTTCAAGGTTTTTGCTATGGGTCTGTGAATCTCCTTAAGAATCTTTCAAGGGAAGGTGCGGTTTGCAGAATGACCTTGTGTATAGAAGGGTCCCTGCAATGGATAAAACATTAATTGGGTACTGCAGTGGTCTTGCGAGCCCTTTTAAAATTTATGCATGAATTTGGTTTAGGATAAAGTTATCTTTAGGTAAATGCCATGGGAGTCCTAGAACTTTTAGTCAATTTAACGATGCCTGGGTTCTGATCAAAATCCAGGTGGCAGTGTGACCTTGACATTAATATCCTCAATTTAAGAAATTCTGGTCCACTTCAAACACACTAGCTCTAGGCTACAGCTCCTTTCCCTTTTCTCCTTCCTTCCTTCCTTCCTTCCTTCCTTCCTTCCTTCCTTCCTTCCTTCCTTCCTTCCTTCCTTCCTTCCTTCCTTCCTTCCTTCCTCTCTCGTGCCAAAGATGGAACTCTGGCTCTCCACATGCAGAACATGCACTCTACAAGGCAGGCAGCTTATGAGAGGATGAGTCTGTGGGAATAATCAGGCGTAGCTCGGAGAAGCATGTGGGAGCTGAGGCTTGCACTGCCTGGCCACTATCTCCACAGTGTAAACTAATACTTGGCCTCTACAAACCCAGCAGAACCGACTCTGAGCCTCAGAGAAAACTATGGTGGCTACCAGTGGGAAAGGAAGTGGAGATGAGGAGTGGAGAGGGGACTTTGAGGGGTGGATGGCACTAGGACTTCAGCGGGGATGTGGAGGAGAGTGCAGTGACTACTATACACATGATGTTAAGCAATAACCATGAGATTCAACAATACTGTGAACTGCCTTGCCGCTGGAATGTCCACTGACTCTCAATCTTGGAATGCTGTGAAATCCTCACTGGACACACTGTGGCGCCATGGCTTGGCTGAACGGATGCAGAGTTAATGATGTGTTGGGGTTTCTGTCTTCCTGCCACCAAAATGTGCACTTCTCAAGGACATGTCAGAGAACAGACTCACTTGTCTAGATTTCTCCAATGGTTAGGCGCTTCGGCAAGCACCTGCCCATATGATGATAACTTCACCATTTCTACCATGAGGATATAAATAAATATTTTTATATTTTATAATTTTTATAATTATTGAGCCAATTTTCTCAATAATTTCTACAATAAGTTTTTTTTTTTTTTGCTTTTTGGGTCACACCCAGTGATGCACAAGGGTTACTTCTGGCTCTGCGCTCAGGAATTACCCCTGGAGGTGCTCGGGGGACCATATGGGATGCTGGGAATCGAACCTGGGTTGGCTGCGTGCAAGGCAAGCGCTCTACCTGCTGAGCTTTTGCTCCAGCCCCCTACAATAAGTTTTTAAAAACATTTTTACTGTGGTAAAATATACACTGATGTTCTGCCACTGAGATATTCACAAGCACGGCCACACCATCACTAGAGTCATGGCACATTGCCTAACCCCTGGTAAACATGGATAATTTGACTCATCCCCCCAACCCTCTGTACCCTCAGCCCCTGGCAACTGCTCAACTGACATTCTTCCTCTCTGGACTGACCATTTTGGAATTAGCCACACCTTGTGGTGCAGAGGGAAACCCTCAGTTCAGTCCTGGGGTCACTCCCAGTGGTTCTGGGGATGGAATCTGTGACCCCGGAGGTAGAGCAAATGCTCCCCCCCAGGAAGCGATACCCTGCTGGTATGGAAATTTAATGTAGTTCATACACCATCTGGCTTTTGTGTCTTCCCCCCCCCCCCCTTGGTGCATGCAGGTCCATCCGTGTGTGGCCTGTATTAACACTTTCCCTGTGTTAATAAGGCCCTTTTGTGCAAACTGGCCAGTGTTCAGCTGATGGGCATCTGCCCGGCTGCCCCCTTCTGGCTGGTGTGAGCAGTGCTGCTGGTAGGCGGTTTGGGACCTGCTTCGACACCTGCTTTCTGTTCTTTATGGGATGGGTCATATAGCAATTCTACATTTAACGAGCCAAGGTACCTAATACACTTTGAAGGGCGATCAGCCAATTGGTGCTCAGGAGGCCTGGTGACTACTGGCCTGCTCCACTCGTGGTTTAATGCAATGCCGCCTGGGCCCTGAGGTGCCACGCTCACCCAGCCACACTGGCACAGCTGGGGCTCTCCAAAAATGCACCCCGTGGTATGTGTGTGGTGTGTATGTGTGTGGTGTGTGTGTGTGGTGGTTATGCGTGTGTGTGGTATGTGTGGTGTGTTTATGTGTGTTGTGTGTTATGTGTGTGGTATGTGGTGTGTATGTGGTGTTTGGTATGTGTATGTGTGGTGTGTGTGTGGTATGTGTGGTATGTGGTGTGTGTGGTGTGTGAGATGTGTGTGTGGTGTGTATGAGATGTGCGTGTGGTATGTGGTATGTGTGTGGTGTGTATTTGGTATGTGTATGTGTGGTGTGTGTGTGGTATGTGTGGTATGTGGTGTGTGTGGTGTGTGAGATGTGTGTGTGGTGTGTATGAGATGTGCGTGTGGTATGTGGTATGTGTGTGGTGTGTATTTGGTATGTGTATGTGTGGTGTGTGTGTGGTATGTGTGGTATGTGGTGTGTGTGGTGTATCTGGTGTGTGTGTGTCTGGTGTGTGAGGTGTGTGTGTGTGGTGTGTGTGGTGTGTGAGATGTGTGTGGTGTATGAGATGTGTGTGGTATGTGTGAAATGTGTATGTGTGGTATGTGTGGTGTGTGTGAGATGTGTGTGTGTGGTGTGTGGTGTGTGGTGTGGGTTAGGTATGTTGTGTAGTGTGTGTGGTATGTGGTGTGTGTGTGTGTGGTGTATGTGTAGAGAGTGTGTTGTGTGTGGTGTGTGAGATGTGTGCATGTAGTATGTGTGGTATGTGGTATGTGTGTGGTGTGTGTGGTATGTATTGTGTGTGTGGTGTGGTGTGGTGTGGTGTGGTGTGGTGTGTGTGTGTGTGTGTGTGTGTGTGAACCATATACTGCTGGGACTCCGGCTGGGGTTGGCTGACCCCTGTGTGATCTCTCTGCTCCAGTACACTTCCTTATTTTCCTTTGGATGATTCTGATGCCATGCTGGGAGGGAGCCCAGATCGTGGAGCACGTGCTCCCCAAAGAGCCCCGTGCTAATGGGGAGCTTTTGGCCCACCTGAGGACTGGATCACCCAACTGCCTCCTCTGCCATGGGGAGCGGAATTCACACCTGCACCCAGGAGGAGGGAGGTGCTCTCGGCTGGGACTCTCACACCCAAATCACCTGTCAGTGCTCAAAAGCAGCGATGTTTGTGGGCCAACTCTGGCATTCTAAGTGCAGCCTTGCTTAGAGAATTTTCAAGCTCCCGTGAGGTCAAGATGCCTCAGCACTGACCTGAGGGCTGAGCCCCGCTCGTGCTCCGCAGAGCTCAGTGCCAGGAGTTTGCAGGAGCTTCCTGAGAAGTTCATGCTGGGCCCAGATTTCCATCCTCCTTGCTTTAGGGTGTAAGATGAAGCCCCAAAGAAGGGAGAGAGGGTGATAAATTTGGGCATCTAAATCCAATGCCAAATAAGTATCATGATGTTCTATAAAAGTCCTGTAAGTGGGGGCTGGAAGATAGCACAGCGGGTAGGGCATTTGCCTTGCATGCGGCTGACCCGGGTTCTATTCCTAGCATCCCATATGGTCCCCTGAGCACCGCCAGGAGTAATTCCTGAGTTCAGTGCCAGGAGCAACACCTGTGCATTGCCGGGTGTGACCCAAAAAAGCAAAAAAAAAATCTGAATTAAAAAAAAAAGTCCTGTAAGTGGGACCCAGGAGATAGTACAGCAGGTGGGGCATTTGCTTTGCACGCAGCTGACCCAGGTTTGAGTCCCAGCATCCCATATGGTCCCCCGGGTCCCTGCAGGAGTGATTCCCGAGCACAGAGCCAGGAGCAAGCCCTGACTGTTGCCAGGGATGGCTCCAAAATGAAACAAAAATCCTCAGGTGGGAGGGAAATGGGAGATGTTGGCCAGAAGTGAAGGAATTAATGTTGGAACATTGTATGACTGAAACCCAATCATGAATAACTTTGTAATCCAGAGTGACTAAATAAAAAATATTTTTTTTTAATCCTCTAAATGAACTCTCGGGCTCTGGGGCAAATAAATGTTCTGAAGCTTCCGGAAGCATGAACAGCAGCATCCCTGCCATACCATTGCAGTCGGGACGCCTGGCTCTGCACAGCCTGTGGCTCATCAGTGCATCCCGGGCCTCCAACTCGGGAGGCTCAGGGGAACCGGGATCTCATCAATGTGGTACTTACTTCTGGGCATCTTGCTGGGGTAAATCTTCTGGCATGGTTTATATTCATCCGGAGGAGGAAAGTCTTCCACTGAATGGAAGGTGAATTTAGATTCAAAGTCATCTGCACACATGAGAAATGGCAACGTTACTCTGGTCGTGGGGAGGGTGCGGATGCGGTGTGGGCATCACTGGAGTGCCCAGCTGCCTCTGGTCGAGTCTCCTGCCTCCTACTGGCTGCCCGGTGCAGGGGGCTCTGAGGAGGGCGTTCTTTCGCCCAAACCACTTCCATCCACCTCTGCTTCACCGTGTGACTGGGACGAGGAGAATCAGGAAGAGTGAAATGAACATTCTCCTATCACATGCCCCAACTTCCTCCCACCAACATCCCGAGGATGCTTCTGAGGGCAGGAAGTGTCTGAGGCAGCCAGGGAGCAGTCAGTTGCCATGCACTTGGCAGTGACAGGGACCAGCCAAGTGCCCTGATCTGAAGCCAGTCCTGAGCTCCCGGAGGGCTGGGTGGGGAGATGAGCATAGAACAGGAGTTTGCAGCCTGGCTGGGAGGAAGGGGCACAGCCTGTGTTGATTTGGGGACCTGGGGTCCCCAGAGCAAGCATGCTCTGCCCTGATGACCTGGGCACAAGGGAAGGGTCTCGGGGTCCTTCCCAAGGCGGGGCCCTGCTTTGTGAGGAAGACTCTGGATCTGAGAGTAGCTTAATGCACCAAGGGATCTAGAGACTTTGTTGCCACATCTGATCCCAGATGACTTCTCTCCTTGTTTGTCCCTGATTGTCCCTGTGCCCGGCGGGCCTTCCATCCATCCTGTAAATTCCTCTGGTGTGACGCACAGGGCACGGGTTTCTCCACGGACACAGACAAACACAGACAGTTGAAATGTTCCTTGTCTTCCCTCTTTCTAATCACAATCAGAAAGTTAGAGTGTTCTAGGTCTGCACACCACCCCCAAACCCTGAAAGAAACCCTATTTGCATCTATTTCCTTCTAGTTAACACAGCATAAACTTGTCTTCGCTGGCAACCCACCCCCACGCACCCCCAGTTCTTGGGAAACAGACACCCAGAACAGACAGTGCCACGCTGGCTCCCTGCGGCCGGGGGCAGCCACGTCCTCACGGTGCAGACGTGGGCCCCGCTTACCCATGGTGGGCAGGTTCCCATTCCGCAGCTGCCCTCCTGGCTGCTGGTTGGAGGTCCAGGCCTGCTGGCTCTTGCTGGAAAGCTCCGTGGTGGGCGACCTGGCCGGGGGTGCAGGGGGCGGGTTGAGCTTCCCGCCACTTGTCCCTTAAGAGAAGATGACACTGTTCAGATTCAGTTCGAGAGTGGGGGGCTGCAGATGCTGTGAGCATCTCCTGGTAAGAGTGTGGTACAGGGAGTCAAGGGCAGCCTCTGCAGCACACCTGCCTGGGACTCAGCCCAGTTCCTGGGCTGAGATAATCACACACACACACACACACACACACACACACACACACATACACACACAGTGCCTTGCTTTTCTCATCTGTGAAATGGGAAGCAGAAATATGAAATGGGAATCAAGGAGCAGCGTGGGTGCTGACATAAAATGTGCTGCTGTGGGCTGGGGAGGCGCTTGGGTCTTCTCAAGCCGGCCACCACCAAGACTTCCTGCTCTGCGGCTCTGCCACTGTCCCCCTTCCCCAGCCTCCTTCCTGCACTGGTCTCCTGCCCCTGGCCTTCCCTTCCTCAGCACCAGGTTTCACTGGAGTCATTTGTTCTCACAGCAGACTGAAGAGGCCCAGGGGCTGCTGCTAAGGAGCTGCCCCTCCATGGGTAAGAGAGAAGAAAGGGACTGGAGAGATAGTACAGCACGTAGGGTGCCTGCCTTGCAGCGGTCAACCTGGGTTTGATCCCTGGCATCCCATTTGGTTCTTCGAGTCCAACAGGAATGATATCTGAGCTCAGAGCCAGGAGTAAGGCCTGAGCACCAACTGAATGTGGCCCAAACACGCCAAACAAACAAAAAACAAAAATCAAATAGAAGAAATTTCAGTCCCAGCTCCAGGCAAGTACTAGGCACATTTTCTCAGCTAACAGTCCTTACAGTCCCATGGAAAAGCATTCATATGATTCCATTTATGTATGTTGGGCCAGAGTGACAGTGAAACAGGTAAGGCCCTTGCCTTGCATATGGACAACACAGGTGTGATTCTCAGCACTGCCAGGAGTAATTCCTGAGCACAGAGCCAGGAGTAAGCCCTGAGCACTGCCAAGTATGGCCCAAAACCAAAAAAAAAAAAAAATTAAGAATGTTTTTAAAAAGAGTAGAGAGCTAGCTCAGGGTCAGAAGTGTGTGCCTTGCCTACACCAGAATCTGTGTCCCATCCCTGGCACCATGTGACCCCCTGAACAATGCTGGTGTGGCCTGGTGACCCCTAGCACCAGAGCCTGCGCACAGAACCCGAGTGTCTCTGGGAAGGGTTCTCAGCTCCACCAGCCTGCTTGAACAGCCACTCGTCTCTGCCATCAAAAAGAACATTAAAAAACAGTTGCCATGAGGTTACGTGGTTGTGAGTGGAGAAGCCAGGATGGAGCTCGGGTCTCTCTTGAGCCCTTTCAGCACACCAGGAGCCTTGAGCAATTCTGGTCTTTATGGGGACCAGCCGGTTGAAAAGAGAAGAGGAAAGAAAACCTGTCTTTTGTTGTAAAGAGCCTTGAAAACACTCTTGCCCTTTGCTATAGGTATTTTTTTTTTTAAGAAAAACTTCATAATAACAAAAATAGAGTTGGCTTAGATATCTAGGGACTGGAGAAATAGTACAGTGGCAAGGTGCTTGCAACTGACCTGGGTTTGATCCCTCAAGACCTGGAAGGAGTGAGCCCCAAGCACAGAGCCAGGAATATGCCCCGAGGGTGTGACCCCAAACAAACAAATAAAGACCGCCATCCCACAAAAAAACCCCACTACGGACAAGGCGTATGCTAATTATATTAATATGCTCAGAGTAAATTTTAAGGACTTGGCAAAACTGTTTTTAATGCACTATTAATATGTTAAATAAAAACATGGAAAACTTTCTGAAATAGTGATAATTGTGTCAATTTTTCTTCAAAAAATGTGACAGGAAACATTCAAATATGTATTTTGGGACTTATTACCTAATCAGTCATTGAGGCTCATTTCTTCCTGTGTGCTGGACAAGGAGCACGTGCTGGTTTTAACTCCAGGAAATGCATTTCAGAAACTTTCCACATGGAAAGATTTCCCACGACCCAGGATGCATCTCAAGGGGCAGCACACAAGGCCAGCCCTGGGCAGGCCCTGGATCTGGGGTTGCCGCCCTCACCTCAGCACTGTGAAGGGGCACGATAATTAAAGGACAGAGTCTTTGGGTCCGGGAGGGGCTGTGGCAGATACCCAGGGGGAAGGGGGGTTTTCCTGTGTGTTTGCAAGAAGGACTGAGGGTTCGAGAGTGGGTTCAGATGTATTTAGAAGAACACAGAGAGGGACGAGGCCTCACCCCTACCAGAAACCAAAGTCATGGGGCTGGCTTACTCGGCCAAGTATCTTTGCTGCTGGACAAGTGAAAGAAGACTTCAGAGCTGGCTCAAAATATGACTTTCTTGAGTCAGCTCAAAATGTGCTTCTAATAAGGCAGGTTGCTCACCCAGTCCTCCGAGGTTGGGGATTGATGGGAGACAGACTAGGACAGGTCAGGCACAAGCCAAAGAATGTTTGCAAACAAAGTGTCACCCACAGCCCCTTGCACCTGGGAAGGGAGCAGGAGTTGAAGGGGACGGTGAGAACCAAGGGCAAGTCTCAACCGCCACCACTGCACAGAGGGAAAGGAGACCCCAGGGTCTGCACGGGCTGGGACTCTCTTGGCCTGGTTTTCCTATTTCTGAAGGAATTTCTCCGACACAGAGGCCTTGCTGCAGGTCTCGGCGAGAAGCCTCCATGCGACGCCAGTTCGAAACCCCGGGAGTCGGGGCGCTGGTGGACGGTGCCCACGTGCCGCCAGCAGGACGCTTACCTGGGCCGCGGCCAGGGCGTTTCTTCTGCACATAGGGCTGAGTCCCCGGGGGTCCGGGCTGCGCGCTGGGCTTGGCGGGCTGGGCCGGGTAGCAGGGGGACTTGGGGGGCAGTGGAGGTGGCGGTTCATTGCTGCTTGGTAAGGGAGGCGCCGGGCCCGAGGACCTGGGGGTGCAGGGAGCGTAGGCGGGCAGAGGGGGCGGCGGGGGCGGCTCGGGGGCCGGGCTGGCCGCGCCCCCCGCTAGCCCCGGGTTCCCGCAGGGCGGCAGCAGGGGCAGCGGCGGGGGAGCGGGCGGCAGCGGCAGCGGGGCCAGCTGGGCCTTCAGGGCCTTGTCACCCGGGAGCGGCGGCGGGGGCGGCGCGGCCGGAGGGTTTCCTTTGCTGGGGGGCCCCGATGGGGCCTTGATGGGGGACGGGGCGGGGAGCGGCGGGGGCGGCGGGGGCGCGGTGGGGGGCGCGGGCGCGGGCACCCCGGGGCGCGAGGGACCGGGCCTGGGGGAGGCGGTGGGCGTAGACGGGGCGCACGGAGCTTTGTTGGGTAGCCGCGGAGATGGCGCTCGGGAGCCAGGGGCCGGCCCTGTCCTGCCACCTGCAAGTGAGAGGAGGTGAATTAGCGAAGGAGGAGGGTCTGCGCGGGGTGGGGGCTTCCCGCAAGGCCACTGCTGCGCCTCCCCGGGGGACCCTGCGCTGCGCTCAGCCCCAGCTGCCCACAGCATCCTCCACGCTCACGCTCACACTCAGCCCTCTCCCTCCCTCCCTCCCTCCCTCCCTCCCACTCAAGCATCCCGTGGCCCCACAGCCCATCCTGCTGTGACCCCTCAGCTAGGCCAGTTCTGCCAAGAGCTTGGTTTCTGCGAGGCATAGCCGAAGCCCAAAGGGAAGGGTCACTCCGAAGGTGGAGTGTTGGGGCGGGAATGTCACAGAGCTCCCTGTCTCCCAGGGCCATCACCCCAGTGATCTTTCACCACATCACCCCAACTTGAAACCCACGCACTCTGCTGGCCGGACGCGTTCGTGCTTGGTGATTTCGTGCCTGAGCTGAGTGATGCAGCTGTGCATCCTTTCACCACACCCGGTTCCTCCTCACCCTTTCCTCTCCTGTATCTCCTGCCGACTGGTCCTGCAGTCACTGCCTCAGTTTGGCCTCAGAGCATCACTCTGTGCAGGGCAAGTAGTGTTTCTCTTACATAGAATACCCTGGAATACCCAAGTAGTGTTTCTCCTACATAGAATACCCTGGAATACACGTTCCTTATTCCAGGGAATTTTATACACACATACTTATAGGCATAAAAAATACTTATAGGCATATATTTTAGGTAGATGGTTTTTGGACCACATTCAGCTGCACCCAGGGCTTACTCCAGCCTCTGTGCTCAAGAATCACTCCTGGCAGTACTTAGAGGATCATGTTCAGTGCAAGGGTTTGAACCCTGGTCAGCTGCATGCAAGTACCTTACCCACTGTCTTATACCTCTGGTCCCCACCAGGGAATACAAATTTATAATCCCCATGAAAATATGTGAAGTCCACTAGAAAAATGGTTGCTTTCCTTTCAATGACTTCTTCTTCTATCTTTTATTTTTAATTTTTTAAATTATTATTATTAATATCATTATTGCTTTTTGGGTCACACCCAGCGATGCATAGGGGTTACTCCTGGCTCTGCACTCAGGAATTACTCCTGGCAGTGCTCAGGGGACCATATGGGATGCTGGGAATCGAACCCTGGTCAGTCGCGTGCAAGGCAAATGCCCTACCTGCTGTGCTATCGCTCCAGCCCCTTAATTATTATTATTTTTAACTTTTTTATTGAGTCACTGTGAGACGAGACAGACCCTTACAAATCTGTTCAGATTGGATTTCAGTCATACAGTATTCTAACACCTATTCCTCCACCAGATTTCACTTCTCCAAATTCTTATTGTGCTCTGTTCTGAGAATCCTTAGAAACATTAGGATACTATCATTATCATAGTAGGTAGAACATATATATATATATATATATATATATATATACACACACATGTGTATGTGCGCACGTGCGCGTGTGTGTGTTTGCGCGTTCTAAATGAATTGGAGCATCCGAAGAAGTATGGATGACTGATGACTTAGGGGCATTTGGTTTGGATACTTTCAAGTTTATTTGCCTTTGTCATTTTATATAGTTAAAAGATCACTGTCACTGTCACTGTCCTCCCGTTGTTCATCGATTTGCTCAAGCGGGCCCAGTAACGTCTCCATTGTGACACTGGTTACTGTGTTTGGCATATCGAATATGTCACGGGCAGCCTGCCAGGCTTTGCCATGCAGGCGGGACATTCTCGGTCGCTTGCCAGGCTCTCAAATTATAAGATGCCGCATAAAAAATATTTCTGTAGTTATTTTCCTCAGTAGTTCTGAAGTTGAAACATATTATTTGGTTGATAACTAATGGCCCTTAAGGTACATAAACTGAATTCTTAAAAAACAAAAAACAGTTGCTTCTCCTGACCACTATTTACTGGGTGTTGCAGATCAGGAAATACAGTTTCCATCTGAGATGATGAGCTCCAGCATCTGCTGACAGTTTTGAGCTTCTGAGTCTCCAGCGAGTTTCTCACCCCAGTGCTGACCAATAAAAGTGGAGTGTCAATGATGGTGATGAGTAGCGTCCAGGCAGGACCCTCTCTCTACCAGCCCCTTTCCTAGGACTCGGCTGCTGAATACCTGCTCCTGACACAGGCCAGGCATGTCCTCTCCTTTATTTTGAACGTTCATCAAGGTGGTTCTGGAGGAGGGTGTCTCTGAGCTGATGCACGGCCGGCCCCCTGCACCCTCCTTCCTCTGCTGACTGGCCTGCTGTGAAAGGCAGCCAAGGCCTTGCTAGCTGGTGCCAAGCAGAAGACCCGGCTCCCTCATCCCATGGATGGATCTTCCACCTGCAGTTCCAATATAAAGCCGGTCTAGGGGAGGTCAAGGTAGGCCACAAGGTAGGTAGGTCAAAGTAGGACTCCACAGGACAATGAAATGAAGCTGAGTACCCCAAATAGCACACACAGCCCAAAGCCACAGGGGACAGGAACAGGCAGGGCAGGGAACCAGCAGGCCCAGGGCCAGCTCCTAGTAAGGGCCACGAGGAGGGAGGAAGGATGGGAGGAGTCTTCCTTCACTGACACAAATGCTGGCCCCAGAAATCCAAACAGCAACACAAAAAGAAATGCAGTGTTTAAAAGGGGGAGGGGTGTCCAGATCAACCCTGGCCCCAAGGTATAGGGAAGAGAAAGAAAAAAAGAGTTGCAGGGAGGGGGAGGAGAAGGAGAGACAGATGAGAAGCAATGGGGGCCAGGTCAGGTCAGGTACAAAGGTGGTGGTAAGGAATGCCAGAGCTAGTAACAAGCTAGGAGCATTGGTCCACAGTCAGAAGCCTGCTCCAAGAGCTTGGGAAAAAGGGATTGGGGTAGAGAAGGGACCACTGTGTCAAAGATAGTTGGAAGTGATCACTCTGGATAAAAACTGGGAGCTGAAAGTAGGTAAAGGAACAAACATAATAAGCCCTCGGTATCTATATTGCAAAGCATAATGGGAGGTGGGGAGAAGTTCTTGTCATAAAGGCAGGCTGGGGGAGGGAGGATGGCAGGAGGGAAACTGAGGTAACTGGTGGTGGGAAATGGACACTGGTGGAGGGATGGGTATTGGAACATTGGAACATGACTGAAACCCCGTCATGAACAGCTTTGCATCTTTGTATCTCAGGGTGAGTCAAGTAAAAATTAAACAAAAACAAATAAATGAAAAAGAAATGATTGAGTGGGCCAGAGTGATAGTACAGTGGGGAAGGTGCTTGCCTTCTTGCACGTGGTTCACCTGGGTTCCACCCCTGACATCCCACGTGGTCCCCTGAGCAACACCAGGAGTAATTCCTAACTGTAGAGCCAGGAGTAATCCCTGAGTATGACCCCAAACCAAAAACCAAGACCAAAAAAAAAAAAAAGGTTGAGCCAAATATCCAAACCACAGAGTCAAAAACACTGAAATCCAGAGACCCAAACTTATAACAACCAAACTTAGAAAGGCGCCTGTGGAGAGGGCAGGCTGGAGGGGGGTTTGGGAGGAAACCTGGGAGCACTGGTGGGGGGAGTTGACACTGGTGGTGGGATCAATGCTGCAATACTGTATGTGTAAAACTCAACTATGAAAATCTTTGTAAATCACAGTGCTTTAATAATACATTTTATTGATTATTAATAATAAAATTATTCTTCATTATTAATAAAATAATAAAAGGGGGAAAGGCCTATATTAGTACAACAGGCAGCCTTGACTCATGGGACAGGAATCAGCTTTTAGGGTCTGAGAGCTATTGAGACACAATTCTATCCTCTTCTCTTAATCTGCTTACTTCTTGTCCTTTGTGGGGGTGGAGGGGGGACTCTGTGCTCTGGAATTACTCTTGGTGGGGCTCTAGAGACCATTTTCGTGCCGGAAATCAAACCAGGTCAGTACACGTGCACGTAGTATCTCTCCAGTTCCTAATCTGTGTATTTCTTTAACATTTTTTAATTCTTTTTTTATTGAACCAGAGTGAAATACACAATTACAAAGTTATTCATGACTGGGTTTCTGTCACACAACGTTCCAACACTGATCCCTTCTCTGTGTATTCTTAAAGTGCTTCCTCTGCCTGGATGTCTCCAGACACCTCCTGGTGACAGTATTCATCCTGTCTTATCTCAGTCATTTCTCTCAGAGCACCACACTAAGGCCAAGACTGCCTTTTGTGGGCCCTTTGGCTTTTTTTTTTTTAAATTTATTTATTGAATCGCTGTGGGAAAAGTTACAAAGCTTTCAGGTTTAGGCCTCAGTCATGCAAATATCAATCACGTTTCCCTTTACCAATACTTATTTTTCACCACAAAGAACCCCAATAAACCCCTACCCCCCACGGGCCCTTTGGCTTTTGTGGGGCCTTTTTGCCTTAATAACATTTTTCAAAATTATATCTGATATAAGTTCAATTTTATGACTGATCAGGACTGTAGCACTGAGAACTGTCCTCCCGTTGTTCATCGACTTGGCTCGAGTGGATCCAGTAACGTCTCCATCATGAGACTTGTTGTTAATTTGGTATATTGAATACATCATGGGTAGCTTGCCAGGCTTTGCCGTGAGGGCAAGACACTCTCGGTAGCTTGCTGGGCTCTCCAAGAGGGGTGGAGGAATCGAACTTGGGTCAGTCACATGGGCCGCGTGCAAGGCAAACACCCTACCCACTGTGCTATCGCTCTAGCCCCTATTTTAAAATTTTCAGCATAGATAGGGACATGAAAAAGACCTCTGAAAAACATTCTACTTGGATCTCAAAGCCTCCTAGAACTGGTATCTTTGCTGGACTTTATTAGTAGGTGATGGTAACAAATGCATCTCTTAACATCAGTACCAGGCAGAGATCACTAGGGAGGAAACCAAGTCACAGGGGCAGAATATTCTATCCCAATTGTGTTTGGGGTCGGTTATTGTTCACTGGATGAGTAACACTCCTGGGGTTCATTCTGCTTCATGACTCAAGGCACAAGGAAAACCCTTTATACAATCAATGTATACTTACTCAACTTTAATGCAATACTTTAAAAGAACCTGCCACCCACCAGAACACAAGTGATCACAGAAGAATGTTGAAATTATGACCTGGACTACTCACTCAGCCCTAATTCAAGAGTCTCTGAAATGGGGTTCGTAGCATTTCTCATTAGGAGATGCCACTGTACCATCCTTTTTTCTGGGCTGAACTTGTGACTTGTTTAAGACAAAAGGATGTGGAAGAACACTAAGGAAAGCTTCAAGAAACTATATTTACTTATTTTATTCCTGGCTGGAACCCTGTCATGCCATGAAAATAAACCCTGGGGCCCGGAAAGACTGTATAGTGGATAGGGCACTTGCCTTGCACTTGGTCCTCCCCAGTTAGATCCTGGTCACCAGATATGTGCCCCAGAGCGCTGCTAGGAATGATCCCTGGGCACAGAGCCAGGAGTAATCCCTGAGCACTGCCAGTTGTGGCTCAAAAAAACAAAAAGGAAGGAAAGTAGGAAGGAAGGAAGGAAGGAAGGAAGGAAAGAAGGGAGGGAGGAAGGAAAATAGGAAGGAAGGAAGGGAGAGAGGAAGAAAGGAAAATAGGAAGGAAGGAAGGAAGGAAGGAAGGAAGGAAGGAAGGAAGGAAGGAAGGGGAGAGGAAGAAAATTAGGAAAGAGGAAAGAAGGAAAATAGGAAGGAAGGAAATAGCCACCTGCACAGTCTTTTAGTTATTGCGAGACCACTGGCTTGATAAAGTCAGTTGTCCCAGCTAAGACTCCAGAGATATAAGGAAGAAATTAAGAACACCATCTCCCTACCTGTGGGAACCCAGCTGAGACCAACTGTCTACATTGTCAACCACAGATGGTAGACAAATTACTATTTAAAACCTCTGCATCTTAAGGGTATTTTGTCACACAGCAATATGATGATTGAGAAATAGTAAAACCCACACATTCCCAATGAGTTTAGAGTAACATCACTGATCTTTCACTGTAATTTGCAACTTGGCTCTATGCTTTGCAGTCTGGGTTAGATTACACAATTGTAAACACAACACACTACATTAAACTAATCTTTAATGAGCCACATGGAAAGACTGAAATAGGAAGGCAACATGCTTTGGAAATGGTCAGGACTTTTGGTTCCCAATATACCTCCAACTGTATGTTCACTAAGAACACTTACCTGGGAGGTGAGGACTGTCCAGCAGTTTTCCATGATAAGGAATAGGCCAGTTATGAGGCCAATTTATGTTCTTCTTACCTGATCCATCTCTCTGGCCTGCTGGTCGTAGAACAGGAAAGCCCCCCGCAAACAGATCTCCCAGGGCTGGGGGCGTGCTTCCTCCTCGTGGAGTTGTGGCACCTCCTCCTTCTTTGTTTGTTCCTTTTGAACCTTTAGAGAGAAGCATCGAGTTGACATGGGCTTGTGAGCAGAGTTGAGCAACAGATTCTTACCATGGCCATGCTGGACACAGCCCATAGCAGTTAATTTCCTGTCTCTAAGGTCACTTGGTGTCTTGGTGCCTCCTGCATCGATTCTCTGCATAATTCTGTGCCCAAGCATAGCTGTGAGTCTCTCTGGGCCACCAGTGCCAACTTCTCTCCAGAGTGCCCAGATATTAGAAATTGAGCTCCCATTTGACCCAGCAGTACCACTCATGAGAATATATCCCAGAGAGACAAAAATGTATAGTCAAAATGACATGTGCACTTGTATGTTCATTACTGCACTGTTCACAATAGCCAAAATCTGGAAAAAACACAAGTGCCCAAGAACAGATGACTGGTTAAAGAAACTTTGGTACATCTACAAATGGAATACTATGCAGCAGTTAGAAAAGATGAAGTCATGAAATTTGCAAACAAGTGGTTCTACATGAAAAGTATCATGCTAAGTGAAATGAGTCAGAAAAACAGGGACAGACATAGAAAGACTGCAATCATCTGGGGAATATAAAGTAACAGAATGGGAGAAGAACACTCAAGAATAGTTGAGATAAGTACCAAGAGGTCTGCTTCATGGCTTGGAAGCTGGCAGCACATGCTGGGGCAAAAGGCAGCTCAGATAGGGAAAGGAACACCAAGGGTGTTTGGAGGACTCGATCGGGATGCGAGACACATGGTGAAAGTAGACTATAGACCGAACATGATGGCCACTCAATACCTCTATTGTAAACCACAACCCCCTAAAGGAAAGAGAGAGCAAAAGGGAATGCCCTGCCATAGCGGTGGGTGGGGTAGGGGGGTACTGGGGGTGGGTGGGAAGGCTACTTGGTTCATTGGTGGGGGAGAATGGGTACTGGTGAAGGGATGGGTACTGAATTATTGTATAACTGAAACCCAAACACAAAAATATGTAAGTCTACAACTGTACCTCATGGTGTTTCACTAATATAAATAAGTAAGTAAAGTAAAGGTCCTCCCGTTGTTGATCATCGATTTGCTCAAGTGGGCCCAGTAACGTCTCCATTGAAGACTTTGTTGTTACTGTGTTTGGCATATCGAATACGTCACGGGGAGCTTGCCAGGCTCTGCTGTGAGGGCGAGATACTCTCAGTAGCTTGCCGGGCTCTCCGAGAGGGGCAGAGGAATCGAACTCGGGTTGGCCATGTTGGCTGCGTGCAAGGCAAACGCCCTACCGAATGCGCCCGATGTTGTCTGATCTCGGAAGCTAAGCAGGGTCGGGTCTGGTTAGTACTTGGATAGGATGAATACAAATAAAATAAAATAAAATAAAATATTTTTTTAAAAAAGAGTGCCCAGATACTGCTGAGTGACCCCTTTCCCAAGAGAGCACACAGACATTGTAGGTGGAAAGTCAACCCCATTTTCAACCTTGCTGTGGGTGGGGGATAAGACAGAGAAAACCCAATTATCAAATGTAATCAGTAATTGAACTGCTTTTCCAGAAGAGCAAGCAGGAAGTGACAGCCTATGGTGATTTTTGCCTTGACATTTTTCATCTCTGTCCCTTGGTTCTCACTCCTGTATCCCTGTGCTTTTTCTTCCCTGGGAAGTAGAAGCTATAGACAGAGCCCCTGTGAAGAGACGTCACTAGTTCTGGTCTTTGGGAAATGTGGATACTGATTATATACAATAAGAAAATGTTTAGCTTGTAAGGATTCTTGGCAGAGAATGTTCGGAAGTTGAAGCTACAGATGCATGCAGACATCAAGGTGTAGTGTCTACTGGTGGATAAAAGTGGCCAGATGAATCAGAGTATTAATAGCATACATTCCCTACTCACTGGAAGGATTACCAAGTGTGTGGGAAAAAATTAACCTAGCTGTTAGCTGGGATTTTATGGATCTAACCCAGAAACTTACTTTTATTATAATCAATGTGGAAAACCATCTTAAAAATAATTGTTTTACTTTTGTGTACTGGCATATATAGACAGATAGTTACAATTATGTTTGGGGCTATCTTTGAGAATTACCATCATGCATTATTGCAAAAGGTATGTATACCTTACATTGAAAATAGTTTTCATGTACTATTGCAACCTTCAACAAACTTGACCCAAAACAAAAGAAACTATTATTATCTATTGCAGCGATAGCACAGCGATAGAGCATTTGCTTTGTGTGAGGCCGACCTGGCCAAGCCAGGTTTGATTCCTCCGCCCCTCTCGGAGAGCCCAGCAAGCTACTGAGAGTATCTCGCTTGCGTGGCAAAGCCTGGCAAGCTACTGTGACGTATTCGATATGCCAAACACAGTAACAAGTCTCACAATGGAGACATTACTGGGCCCGCTCGAGCAAATAGATGAACAGTGGGAGGACAGTGCTACAGTGCTACAGTCTTACAATACAATAATCTAGAGAAAAGTCATTGCCATTGCAAAAAATCATAAAGAGAAAATATATTTACAAAATGTTATACGGAAAATTTGTGTCATCTGTTTTCAAGATGAAGTATCTGTCAGTCCCTACATCAATATTGTTTCATGATACAAAACATGACAGATGTTACACATGTTATGAATGCTAGGCATTGAAAATGAAAGATAATGTAGAAAAGAAATCCATATTTTTACTTATTTATAGGCACAGTGATTCATGCTTAGATGATCTCTAAAATATTTTCCTATTTATTTAAAAACTCTTTGTCAGTGAACCGGTGCAGTTCAAACCAGTGTGGTCACCTTCACAACCCAATAAGAAGGAATAAGATACTGATCCGTGCTAATGCACAGAAAGACTTAGAAAGCATTATTCCAAGTGCAAAGACTCAGACACAAATGACTATCAACACTGCATGATTCCATTTACAGAAAATATCCCAAATAAGCAAATCCACAGAGGCAGAATGAAGATCTAGTAGTTTCCAGTGACAGAGGACAGTCAGCATTCACTCATGAGTATGAGATTTTCTCAGGGGTGATTAAGGTGTTCTGGAACTGGAGAGGGGGCTGGGGTTCAGTCACTTAAATGCATATGTGTCACCAAACTAGATACTTAACATGATGAATTTCATAGTATATGTGTTTGGCCACAATAAAAGTTATCTCCCCCCACAGTGGTTTTAGACATTTGAAAAGTAATGGAAGATATGCTATAAGCCATCAGCAGACTTGGGAGGGAAGCTCTGATTGGCTGGCCCACGTGGGCTGTCCAGGGACCAGGTCTGAGCTGACCAGATGTATCTTTGGTAACAGAGGTGTCCCTTGCTCTGAGCAAGCCTTTGGCTCCCAGCAGGCCCACCTGGCTGCTGACTTACTCTCAATTTGCGGGGCACTTCGGTCATTGATCTGCGTGACTTTCCGTAGGCGAGTTCCTTGTTGGATGTCAGCCAATAGTGCACTCCGACCTTTAAGATCTGCCTTCCTCAAGCTGGGAGTGTCTGTGCTTATCTGTAACAGAGAAAAAGCGATATGATGATAAGGGCAGGTAACATTTGCAGGTCAGCCAACTTTGTGACTGCTGTAAGGCCTACCCCACTGCCCTGCCAAGGCCCATTTCAACAATGCAGACACCATCAATCTTGGAGGCTCCCTCCTGCACACCCCTCTTTCCCTGGGGACCTACAGGGGCCTCCTTACTAAGCTCGAACTCCCAAGGTACCCAAATCATAGACCACTTTCTCCTCTCCTAGGTGACCTCCATCCACATCCTAGGCTTCTGCTTCTGTGTTATGGTCCCTGCTTCTAGGATCTGAGTGGTCACCTGGTCTCGTGTCTCCTCTCTGCCTGTCGTGGATCAATCCTCTGATCACTCAGCTTAGTGATTGAGGTTGGTTCTGTCATACTGTCTCATTCCAGGTTATTCAGAGTGGTACCGAGTTAGGCTCAGGTCTAGTACTCATGACCTTCCTGTGGCTGGGCAGCCCATAGGTCTCATCACTGAAGCAGAATCAACCTCCAGAAATCATCCCTTAAACATTATCCCTTCAGAGACCTTTTCTCATTCCCAATCTAAATAAGTCTATGATTATTTTCTCTCAGGGTACCATTTTTCTTTCTTTAAATTTTAGCATGAAGGAAGTACAAAATGTATTTCTATTTGTGCATTCCATTGCCAACATTTCTACCTGAGGTCTTGAACTTGAGGCTCACCCCAATTTTCTATATTAGGAAGAAAGGTCTTATTTGTGTGGTTTACTAATATGGCTCCAGAGAGCAGGACAGGCTTTGGCTCAGAGAGGCTTAATAACTACTCACTGACCAAGTGAGTGGGTCAGTGAGTGAACAGGGGCCGGGGGAGCTGGCCTTGCCTTAGGGTACAGACCTGACACAGGGGCAGGACATACATCAAGGCCTTCTGCAGTGCAGGACTGAGCCTTTAAGGAATCCCAATCTGAGAGGACTATCCCGTGAGCTCAGAAATGGTTCTGTTTGTTAGGCTGCACCATATCCTGGGAAACGGGAGCCTTAGCTGTTCCTGAAGATGGACAGACATGCTCTGAGCAGGTTCTGTTCTGGCCAGACTTGTTGCCCCAAAAGCCACAGCCTGCCTCTCCAGCATCGCCATGTAGAAACCAGGCACTTGGCTGTGGCTTCCAGGCTCTGAGCCTGCCTGGCTTTGGCTTCCTCCTTCACTCTGACACAAATCTCACACACACGCTGTAAGGCACAAGCACACAAGCATCACAGATGGGAGCATTCGTGTCGTCTGGAAATATTCTTTCTGTACCATTATGAGTTCATGGATGGGCTGGAGTGATAGCACAGTGGGTAGGCCATTTGCTTTGCATGTGGCCCGACCCGGGTTCAATTCCCAACATCCAATATGGTCCCCTGAGCAAGGCCAGGAGTAATTCCTGAGTGCATGAACCAGGAGTAACCCCTGTGCATTGCTGGGTGTGACCCAGCAAGCAAAAAAAACAAAAACAAAAAAACAAAAAGAGTTCATGGATGATGGTCAACAAAAGATATGGGCCAGGACTTTGCCTTGCAATGTCCCACGAAACAAAAAAAAAGCAAAATCCAAGAGAACCACGAGGAAGGTCCCAAACTTAATGGCATGCATATTTTAAGGGAAACAAATATTTGGCAAGATATTCCTCAGACAACATGCTTTTTAAAAAGTCTCTGAGTCATTAAAATCAATTCACCATTTTAAACTGCAAAGTGTTCAGAATTTTTAAAAAGTCTCATTTTATTTATAAATAATTAATGATCAGATGAAGCGACCAGCAGAAATATGGACTTTTTTTGTGAAACTCCAGCATGCGAGGCTTGCACAGTGGTGGAAGTAGTTTTAATGATTTTGTTGTTGTTGTTTTGTTTTGGGGCCACATTAGGTGATGCTTAGAGGTGAATCCTGACTCAGGAATTAACTCTTGGCAGTGCTCAGGCAAGCATCCTACCTTCTGTACTATCTCTTCAGCCCCAAGGAGAAAGTACTTTGTAATCTTCCTAGTTACAAGATAAAGATCTCAGAAGTTTATTTGGATAGTCAAAGTGTGATTCAAGGCATTAACCTTGAGGAAGGGTAGAACAAGGCATTCCTCTATGCAAAGGAGGAGCTGTGGACATATGGGGGCCTGGGTGGGGGTGGGGAGTGGGAGAAGGTTGTTGTCATTTCATCTACTTTTAAACAATATTATTGATGACCAACCTATATCCCCATTCCCTGACACTACCCACTTCAAACTTTGAAAGGGGAGACTTGTGAAGTCAAGGATAGTGTTTGTCCTTGGATTATGGATTTCACTTTTAGTTCCTACTGAGCATAGGTCTCAATTCATTCTTAATGAATCCGTGTGAAAAATATGTTGTCAAATCTCTTCCAAAATGTTAAAAAGGAAATGACGAGTCACATTTAAACTTCCAGGAGGCAGTTCAACTTGTGGGACTAAATCAGACGCTGACTTCTTGTGTTGCATCCCACTAGAGGGCTCTTCAGCCCTTCAGACAACTCGGCTAGTCAGGTCTCTCCCAGGAGACAAGAAAGAACAGCTCTCTTCAGGGCTAATGTGGCCACATCTATATTTAAGTTTAGTGCGTTTAGTACAAAAGGACATCTAAGGACATTTGTACATCAAAGACTGTGACACAGTGATGGTCATTTCTTCTCCATCTGCGAACTTTACTAATGATACATCCTTGGTTGGCTCTGTTAAAGCCTACAATGCTAACTAAGAACTCCTGTTTCTGTGGTAACAGGATGCAGACGCAGGAAATCTTTTCAAATATTCACCAAATATCTTGTTCCCTTTAAATACTGAAAACTTCATTAAGCCACTGCAAGGAGAGAAAAACGCATTCCCCAAGGCAATATCTGCTCCAACCAAGAAAGCGAAACATCACTTCTAAGTTTGCTCTTGTTCTCTCTCCACTTCCCTTCCCTGGATTGTGGGGTGCTGGGGCCACACACAATTTGCAGCACTCAGAGTGTGCTGGGTGTCACACCAGTAAAGTTGGCAAAGGCATTCCATGGTGGGTGAGGTGCCAGGGCACGGAAGTTACAACCTTACATGTTCAAGTCTCATTCCCAAGTCCCCTTGCCCTAGGACTTAACAGTGTTGAGGGTGACAATTTGCCAGATTTTCCAGGAACAAACTTAGAAGAGCCAAGTCCACACATGAACCTTTCACCGACTTGGGTCTCCTAAAGTAAGGTTTTGGATGGAATAGGGCTGGAGCAATAGTACAGGCGTTTGCCTTGCATGCAGCCAACATGACCGACCCGAGTTCGATTCCTCTGCCCCTTTCGGAGAGCCCAGCAAGCTACCAAGAGTATCTCGCCCATACAGCAGAGCCTGGCAAGCTCCCCGTGACGTATTTGATATGCCAAACACAGTAACAACAAAGTCTCCAATGGAGACGTTACTGGGCCCGCTCGAGCAAATCGACGAACAACGGGAGGCCCTTTACCTTTATCTTTTTAGGCTGGATTCATAAAAGATGAAAAGAAGCAGAAGAGGAATGTAAATTAGCCCATCCCCCCCAGTCATGCAAAAGCTGAAAAGCAAGTCAACCAGATCAGAAAGTCATAAATGCAGTAACAGTACTAAGAGTCACAGCTGCCGTGCCTTGCAAAATTATAAAAGCTTTTGCATATTCATTCGCCATCCAACAAGTGAATGGACCAAGTTGCAGTGTCTCATTTGGGAAAAGGAGTTGTAAACACACACCCTCCTGTTATTTGCTACTGTTTGCTATTCTTGTATCCATCAGATGGACATTGGTTTTTGTGGGAAACACAGATGAAAATCTAGAGAGTTGACCCTGGTAGACAAGTGCTGACCTGATATATGAGTTTTTCTTGTCTATCTTAAGAAAAAAAAACCTATCATTTTGGGACACCTTTTAGCCTTTGCACCTCAGAAAAGTAGAATCTCTGATGGGCTCAAACTTTTTCAGTAGAACTTCAATTTCCAGGCACACAGCTTGCTCATAACCCCTCCCTCGGCCTCCTGCCTCTCCTCCCAGACTCAGTGCAGACAAGTATCAACACCCAGGCTGCTGGCCCTACATGACAGCGTTGGAACCCCCAAGTACTGCCAGCATGGCACTGTCTTCTCCCTGCAGCTGGCATCTTTATCAGCCAGGTGGAAGATCACCCAGAGCCTGGCATCCACAGAGCCACGTGCAATTTTTCAGAAAAACAAAGTCTCCCAGATCAGGCCTGACACAATGTTCCTTGAATCCCAAATGTGCATCCGCCAGGCGGTTCCAGAATGAGGAATGTTGGGATCTGTTTGGTGTCTCATTTTTAGAAATTCAGACAGGCGATTTGAATCAACAGATAAAATGAATGGCTCCTTTAACCTCCTTTTCTTAAGCTTGGTGCCTCAATCAGCTGTTTGCACACCCATGGCAGCCACCCAGAGAAGTTGTCAAATTCCTAGACTTGCAGACATGCCTTTGCTCTGTATGATGGTCTGTGGATGGGAAGAGGAGGGCCACTGGTGAGAGTTTGGGAGCAGGCTTACGTGATGCTATTTCTGTTATGAAGAGGTAGAGCAGAATCAGCGTCTCTGTTGGGACACTCTAGATGTGTCTGGTCCTATTCTCTCCACCCACTGGGGGCATTTTAGTTATTGACATGACTTTGACTACTATGTGTTGGCAGCTACCTTCTTGCCCAAGAATGGAGAAGTCAACGCAAACCACAGTCACTCTGCTACGCATTCTTCGTGATGTTTTCCCGAGTTATTTTTCTGAACATGGGCTCCTATTTTGCATCTGCACATGCTGACATGATGCAGCAATTTTTGTGCCTTGTCTTTCTGCCTCCCGACTGGGCCCTCCTCCACACAACCACCAGAGGCAGCTCCCTATGACACTTGCCTCCATGTTAGTCCCTTAATTGAACCCCTTGCTGGCGGTGCACTGCTCTCAGAGTTGAGTTGCGATTGCTTCCCATTGAAGGAGGTTCTTTACCACCAGCCCAGACTCTCCCATAGG